CTAGCACCCTGAAGTTTGGACGGAGAGAGGATGAAAGCGAAGCCGAAACTGAGAATCAAGCAGAGCGAGATCATAGCAGCGCAGATTTGAAGCGCAGTTTTGACAAGAAAAATAAATTTCGGTGCTGTTTTGTGTGTGTCATTTTATCTGGTAGTTCTTCACCGCTACTTTTGGTATACACGGCTCATCTTCAATTTTTGCATTAATCTTAAATTTGTTCTCTGCATTTTAAGATTTTACAACAGAAATTACTAGTAATACAAATCAATTTTGGCAGTTTGTTCAAGACGCTGATGCTTTTGCAATCTTTTGCAATAATTTAGCAAATAAATAAAGAAGCACTGCACTAGAACGGAAATGGTTTGTATAACATGAGTTCGAATAAATTAAAATTAGATTCATGCTATACAAACCATTTCGGCTTCGCTTTCATCCTCTCTCCGTCCAAACTTCAGGGTGCTAGATGTGATACCTCTTATCACTTCCACTTTTCACACGTGTCATATTTTTGGATGTATTCAAGTACTTTCTGTCAGTTACTTCATCGCTCTCATCCAAGCAGTGCCTTTAAGACAAGTACTTGTTTTGGGTCACTTGATGTGCTACATATATAACAGTGCACACAGTTGCATGAAACTCATACCTTTTATCAGCGAAGTAGATTTAAATTATTAAGAAAATTGTTTTGCTTTCCAGTTATGATATCAAGTGAAAAAGATGTGTAAAAAACTGCGTATTCAAAATTCTACTGATGCTTGATCGTAATGAAAGCTGAAGTCCACGAAAATCATTCGCCCTTTCGGTGACAATTAATGTTAGAATTTGGCAGAATTTTTGTGTGTAAATTAATCAATTAAGCAAGTGAACTAATGAATAAATTAAGTTCTGATAGCCAGCAGTTATACTTTATAGAGTTATGTTTGGTGTTGTGATGGCTACTTTTCATTGTTTTCTTTTGCATTCTACTATGGTTGTTGAATAATTTATTCAATTCAATTTATTTAATGTGAAATTTGTGATAATTTAGCTGCAATTTTAATCAGAAAATTATTAAAAGAGAAAAACAGTTTGCACGTCTTCAATTGTTTTTCAAAAACGCAGTGCCAGTTGTAAATAGGTATAGGTGAAGTGATTTAATTGATAAAAATAGTAAATATCATTTGGGTTCTGGATCAAATCAAATAATTATTCATATGATTTTTATTTGGAAAAAATAACTTGAGTAGCATCCTTAGTAATAAACTGAGTAATTATCATAGGGTAAAAAAATGGTAGCAAGAAACAAATGTTGGATATTCATTGAGTAAATAAGTTGTACTGTGATACAAATAAATACAGTAGAAATATTTGGATGTCATTTTTGGTTATGAATTGATAAGATAAGAGCAACTTGACCTTAGTTAAGCACAGTTTCAGTGATACATCTATCTTTTCTTTAAAGGTTAATACCTTTTTATTTTCCGATACTTGCCTTCCTTAATCAGTAAAAGTTATTTTTGACTTTCTTTACTTAAATAGATGCTAATAGTGCTACAAATAATATTTTGTTTGCTTAATCATTTCTTCAAGACTTGTTTGAACTAATTTTTTCTTGTATGCAAGGTACTGCTGTCCTAAAATATTCACCATTCTAACTTCATTTAAATCATATTCTTTTTGATTCGATAAAAGAAGCACATGCTCATTAGTATATTTTATATTTTGTTTGCTCCTCCGTTCACGAGTACAGCAGATTTCAGATGTCACTACACACTCCAACAAAACTCGGTGATCAATCTGCGCATTCTGCTAATGATTTATACTGGAATGAGAGCGATGATGATTTTTGCAATGAGTACAACGGTAAATATTTAGAGTTCCTTTTTCAATCCTGCACTGTCTGTAATTACATTTTTGATATATGATACTTGAAAGTATACGGTAATGGCCAAGATAAAGAAAGCAAATTATTTCACAAATAAGCAAAATTGAAAAAATTGTCTTGTAGCATAATTATGATTGCTATTGAGCGCTAACATTTTCTAAGACATTTTTCAATCCTAACGAAGGAAGGAAATCATGATTCTCGCTACTTTCTGCTCTTCATCGTACTTCTTAACCTTTCATTTTATCTTAGTGCTCTCATACTTCCTTTATAACGAACTTTTACGTACTTTGAAATTCATCTTCCCGCTTTGGCTCAACTTTTTTGTGTTATTTACTTTTTTCCTTTCTCCTTCTTTTTTATTTTAAAAATAGTATTTGATGATAGTTTCCAGCTTCCGATTCAAATATTCTGCATAATGCAAGTGTTCTTCGCGAAACATCTATGAATGCCCGAGAACCATCCACAAATATCGTCAACAATCATTCATGCAATAACTCATATCAATGTGCAACAACTAGTTTGTTTCTCACACTGTTTTACAGTATCATTTATGTTATTACTTATTATATCGTGCTAGCAGCATTTACGACATAATAAATATTAACAAAAAGCATCTATCAAGTTTTTGACTGCTTTATTAAAGTTTAAATGTCCATTATTAAGATTCATATCAAATTTTGTATATGTAATTTCAAGTCAAAAAAAGTGATTAATCATTAGAAAGAAATTGTAGAACTCTTGAGGTATGACTTATTGAGAGCATAAATAATTTTTAGGTTTTGAGTTTTCAGTTGAAATATTCGATGCATAATTCATTTATTACTTATTTGCATTGATGTAAATTAATTTTTTGAACTGAAATAACTTTGCATATATTTCTCCAGATGCAAGTACTCAAGAAACGGTCGACACGTCTATTCCAACAATACGTGTCCTTCACCATGTTGAGCCATCGTCGTCACACGTTGTGTGTTCTTCAAACGTGCACCATCATTATCATCATCACCATCATCCCCAAACATTTTCCGGGCAGCATCGAGTGTACATGCCTACATCTCTATGTTCTGAGAGTCAATCTTCAAATCAGTATCATACAATGCCGCCGTGTTATGATCGGTACACCTTAATTATTACTTGATAAAATTCATCCCCTTCCCTTGCTTTTTTTCAACTAATTTTGCAGTACTTGCATAATGATTATAAAAGCTATTTTTTCCTTTTTCAAAAATTTACCCAATAAATTGTTTGTACACACATCATCAATTGCTGGGTCGTTAGAAAAATGTTAAAGCAGATAAATGCCAGCAAAATATTTATTAATTATTGATTATTAGCAATCAAATGTTTAAATTGAAACAGTGAAATGTTGAAGATTTATTGAATTAATTAAGTAAGTTTGTTGTCGCAATAATTTTTCATTCATGCATAACAACTCGCTGCAAATTTTTAAAGTAGTAAAAAAAGGCTATAAAATTTACTTATTTAACATGAGCACTTTCTCAACAGCATTTACTTTTTACTTATGCAAATATTCAAATTGTCAAACATTGATTGATCCAGTTGAGATCAAAGGGCATTATTTTATTTCGACCTCTGATGATGACTTATGACTTCTAATGATGGCTTCTTTTTTACAGTCCAAATTTTACTTCTGAAATTTTCGGCATAATTTCGGAAATGCGATTTAAAATTTTGCACAATTTTAGTTAAAACAAATTTATAAATATATAAAATATGAAATATGAAAAGAGTCAATGTAAAATGTCTTCATTTCAGACATTCGCAATACTTTTCTCATCCAACTTTTTTACGTCAGCAGCAGTGCATACGACCTAATATTCAACGATATGTACAGAATACAGGACAGGTTAAAATTTCATTCTGTCATGTGATAATATTCAGAAACAAGTCATAAATTTCGTGGAGTATTATATACATTTTTGGAACTAAATTTCAGGCATTACAAATGCAGCATCATTTTCCTGAGGTAGCCATCCCTCAGGTGCCATCTCATTTTCTCACTCAATTCCTCAAAAATACTAGCAGTGCATCGATGAATATTGCTGTCAATTTTAAGAAAAAGGTTCGTTCGAAGAATCAAAAATAAGGCCAAAATTTTCGCTTTCTTGCAGTACTAATTTTTCTGAGCGCGATAAACACTTATAATTTTCAAATTTCACCATTCATTTAGCATTCTATAATGATTGCATTGTTTGATGCTTGGCCTTTTTATGCAAATTTTATGTAATAGCATTGAAATAAACATTTTTTCTAATTAAAAGATGAGCAATTATCACATGGAAATAAGTCACAATGTTAATACGATAGGATTTAGAATGTAATTAAATTATTTAACGAAATTGAAAAATCTAATTTTGCAGCCCATTACAAGCCACGCAGACTCAGTATGTTCAAATTGTGGCACAAAAGAAACGACCCTATGGCGCCGTAGCAACACAGGTGCTATTGAGTGCAAGTTGGTTTTTTTCTAATTTTACTTACTTTAGTTACTTCTGAGTAGAATTATTTTTAAGCTTATTGCTTATTTTTGCATCCTTTCACTTTTTACATTCACTCTAATTACTTAATCAATTAAGTGATCACGTAGTTAATCTAGTATTTTTTGAGGCGCTGTCTTGCTATTTTTTATTTCTTAAAGTGTTAAATGAATTTAGCCGATTTATGACAGTTTCCTACAATTATATTTGCATCTTTATTGCTCGATCCAAAAATTAGCTGTCTTTTTAAACTGACTCAAATGTCAGCTTTGAAGCAAATTACTACATTGCTTGCAAGCCACAGTTTAATTTTACAATACGCTAACTCTTTTCATCAGTCAGACATTAACTTTTTTGTCTTATTATTGTTAAATCTTCATATCAAATGTCCATTTTGTTCAATAGGTCATTTTAATTCACAGTAATACTAAATATTCGAACGAGAAAGATTTTATTATTATTCGAAAACTTTGCAGTGCTTGCAATTTGTACTATCGCAAAAACAACCGTCCACGACCTGTAACTATGGTGAACAAAATACGAAAGCGAGTAAGAGTACATCGTTTCGGTTTCTCGTAAAATCTTTTTTTTCATTCTTACAGTATTTTCAAGTTTCAAAAAACACCATGTGGAAAATAACGCCAACTCTGAACAATGAAAGTCCAGTAATGCAGTTGTAGTGTTTGAATATAGAAAGTACCACAAATGTCGTCAGCTTGCAGAAATCTCTGAATCTACATTACAGTTTTTTTATTATAGTGGTGTTTCTACATTTCAATCTAATTATGATATTGTTTTTATTCTTCTCTGTCATCATCAGCTAGAAAATTGTTTGAACCTGTGCGTTGATAATGAATAATAATGAGAATAACTATGTATTCTGAAGTGAGAATTGTTTCAAAATGGAAATTATTATTTTTAACTTGTATTTGTATTTTGTATAAACTTACAAGCATGCATCGATTTCGTGTTCGCCATTTTATGCTATGTTTCATTATCGCTCTCTCAAGTTTATAAAATCAGTAATATCAAATTTGTATAAATGCTATTGACGTTACGGTACGATCAACAATATTACATCCTCATGTATTGTTTGTCTTTCAAAAATATACGGTCAGTTTCTGTCTTCTCTTTTTTTATGATTTTACTTGTGCAATTCCATTAATCACACACATATCATCGGTTATCACTTATTCATACATAATATATTACTACTTATTCACTTACTCAAGCATTTTTCATTTTCATAATTGAGTCTTTTGTCGAATCTATCCTATGGGCATATATATCTAATGATTCAATGTAAACATTGCTAAGCGTTAATAGTTTCCACTGCCATAATTTTTTTTTCAGAGTAACTAAACTTGTTTAATTTATTCGAGTATATTACATGAATTAATAAATTTCATTCAGTCCCTGCTTGATAAAACATTTGAAATATCACTTTTATCTTTATGATATTTCTTGTAGCTGTGAAATAATTTGACAAAACGATTATGTTTGACTCAAAACTTCTGTCAGTTTGTTGCCATGCAACCGAGTTCGTTTAGTTGACTTGTATATATTGCTCAAATACAAAATATTTTCCAATCTTATCATCTCCAACTGTTCTTACATGCAATTATCTTTTGATCAAATAAGCGACCTATAGCGAGATTATATGCCCAATGCAATTCCATTTATTAAAATTTAATTGAGAACAGACTAGATTCTTCAGTGCATTATGTCGTGTTTCCAAGTAAAGCATTTCTTACCGTATGATAGAACAAACATAACGCATAATATTGCAATTTATGCGAACAAAATTTTATTATTGCTCAGCATAAAATATTTCAGTAATTTCTGGCTCTGATTTTTAAATATACATGATAATGCACAATTAGTTAGTTAGTTAGCCTGTTAGTTAATTAGTTAGTTAGTTAGTTGGTTAGTTAGTTAGTTAGTTAGTTAGTCAGTTAGTTAGTGAGTTAACCAATCAATCAGTTTGACTTGGAGTGGAGTGTTTATCATTTTTTGTTCATTAAAAACTATTAGGGTCTATTTTTCATTTAAAAAAAGCAAAGTAAGTAATAATAATATTGTAGTAATGTGATAATAGAATTACTGCCATTGAATATTGAAAAAAAACTTTTAGATGAGTTTATAAACATAAGCTGCTTTCTTCCAATTCTTTTTAAAACAGAAACGCTGAATTAGCGTGAGTTAAAGTTTTGAAATCATAATTTTGAAAACTGCATATTGAACGATAGCAACTACGCGTCACTTTTATTCTTATTTTGTTAAATTGATAATAGCACACATAAATCAATCATTATTACGTATTGTTCACTCGCATACAAAATTGCATGAGTTTGAATAATTGGCGTTCGGTGAAGCGAAAAGTTGTTTCATTCTGTAATCTTTATGTGTTCTAAAAAAACAATTTATTATGTTATGAATTCACGTGAGGATACCTTCAAATCAAGCGTTCAGAAATGGTATTTTCGCAATTGTTGTAATAAAGATTTTTGGAAAAAAAACACACGTGAAATGCAATTAGAATCAGTAATTTTCCGACTGATTACGAATACAAAGTACACTCAATTTACAGCTAGCTGTCCATTTACTTTGAGAATCAACTTTTTTTTTTTTGATTATACTTTGCAATTTCTGACTGATTATGAAAAAAACTTTGTAACCTATTCCATGAGGCCTAAATTATCGGCTTTTTAATCACTACTATTTAATTGCCAGTTTCTGAACTCACGGTCATGCTTAATTAGCTTGCTGAACTTTGCTGTGACTATCTTTTTACACCTTGAACTAGTAATATAGTTAAACATAGGTCACTTTTTTTTTTCACTTTTACTATTTCACGGACTTGCTTGCTGATGTTTGCGTTAGTAGAATTATGATCAGTGCAGGATTCTTGTGAAGTTTAAGTGATTATTTATCAATGACAAGTTGAAGTGCATGTTGAGAGTGATCTAAATTGAAAATGACAATTTCTACTTGAAAGGTTAAAGTTTACAGATGTATCTCCGAGGTTAACTTTGCTAAAATCCGTGCAGTCAATAGTCTATGCTACTTTTACTTTTATCATACCATCATCTATCATACTATGGCACTTACATCAATCATGACAACTTTTTGAAAGCTGCGCTGCCAATTTCAAAAGCAGGTTCATCATCATTCGTCTTTATGAGCAGGAAGTGTAAATTTCTAGCTCAAATTACACCATCTTCAATGAAACACATAGTGTGACCTTTAGCCTTTTGGCATGTGATTTCTAGTACTTGTATATACGTGAGAAAGAGTTCATAGTAAATTTAAGAATGAAATTGTTTGCCTTCTGCTTAATCTCGTAACTAAGAAAATTGCAGATTTGCTTATTTTGGCTGAAATCAGATCCATTAATATGATAAAAGATCGATGGAATGAATTGAGGGTATGTTTAGCTTGTGCATTTTTACTGAAATATTTGCAAGCAGATTTAAAAGCTAAAGAATCAAAAAGTTCGTGCTTACTTTTACCCTCAACCAAATTGTTGGGAATGCAGTTGAATTCAGTGGAAAGCTTTTCAACTTGATCTAAAATAATTGAGCAGATTTTCTGATTAAGATTGAGTTGAATTGGTTTGTAGGTCATGAGAGTCATTAATGTTACTTCAATTCCGTAAAAAGGAATCAAAAATTGCCAAATGTGTATCATGAAGTGTCAAAAAAGGCCTATAATTATAACAAGTAACTTCTGAATTAAAGAATTCTCTTGAGCCTATTCAAAAGTTCAAATCAAATCATATATCGGAAGTAAATTTATTCATTGCTTAAAAATGTCTTATTCACTTCAGACTTCATGTTGAACACTGTCCACATTTGAGTGAGAAAATGAACTTTCCATTAATTAGCTAGTTATCAAGATCACTGTAAATGTCGCTGCAATAATAAGAATCATTTACTTTACGTAAATTTCTATACATAGCTAAATTTATTGTCGTTTTAATGACAAGTTGACATTTGTCAAGTTTTTCATCGCAATTCATCAGTGCAACTGCAATTTTCCTCCGTGCAATTGACTGAAGTGTTTGGTCTTTTTATGCAAGTATAAATAATGAAGGGATTTAGTTAAAAGCAAGTTTTCATTTGTCATTTTGTCTTGCGAAAGCTTGACTTTTAATAATCTTTCTCATTCAACTCTATTTTGCAATGGTGAATAAATTTTGAATTAATAAATATTCCGACCGCGTCAAATGGAAGAACGCATACGCAACTTCACGACCTGATCTGCTCAAAGATCGTTTTCTCTTTAGGTTCTCCTTAAAGAGAACAGTTGCTACCTGATGAGTTTATCAAAAATTGTTTGACCATCAGTTTTGCTTTCCTGCTCTCAACTATTTTCCATAATTACTCATGTTTGTTACTTTTTGAAGATCAAAGCAAGTCAGTTCTCGTCTGATCGCACGTCCATCGCTGTTGATGATTTGCATGACTTTGACAAAGTCTATCCTACTTCACAATCAACATTTTTCAATAAGGTGCATGAAATTCGAAAAATACTTGCTGGTCTAGCTGCTGATATAGCTGAAGTCAAAATTCGACTCCACTCATTACCGGCTCAAACTATCTTCGATGGGCGGGAAAAGGTACAATAACTTGACCACTTTCATCCGCCAAAATTATACATTACTATCGCAATTTCACTGATTTTCTCTACCTTCAATGAATCTGACTTGGTAATGATCGTTCAGACTATACTAGAAAATTGATCAGTTCAGTCTATATTGATGTGTGCACTTACTCACTCACTTATGTACTGAGTTGTGTGAGCGTTTTTCTTTTTTTCATGAATTTAAGGAAAAATTGGACGAATGTCTGAGAGCAATCAAATATCGTTCTAATTTACTACGCGGACATCTGCTCGCAATGCAGCGGAACGAAAAGGAAGTGGAAAAGGAGCAGCAGACTGATTCTGATATCACCGCCCGGATCAGAAAATGCCATATTGAAGCAATGATCAAAACACTCTCAGTCTTGATAGAAAAATTAAACTCAGCTCAACTTGACTACAGAATCCAAGTTTTAAGTTGGTTATAGAAGTAAATTGAATTTCAGAATGATTTAATATCGATTGCTTTCAATCGTATTAATGAATCATGTCTTTTTTCACAGAATTTATGTTTTTTAATACATGCAAATAGAGTGATGAAGTATGAAAAATTCAAATTTATATGATTTTAAAAAACTTTTTAATTCTTTGCTAGTAGTTGTAACTTGCTATATTATACAGTGATTTGATGAAGTTCAGGTTATGTTTCTTGCAATAGTTTTGAGTCGTATCTGCGGCCTTTACGACTTGTATAGTATTGTAGTCGAGCGAGAGAGCATTATTACTTTACTTCATCCGAGTATAAAATTTGTTGTTGCAAATGCATTTCCAATATTTGAAAATATTGAAATTATTTGAAGAAAAAATCAAGCGACAATTAGTTATTGCGGGTGAACATATGACAGATGATGAAATAAATGCAATAGTAGATTCAGAATCACCCGAAATATTCAACAGGTTAAGTTCAGATGGAAAGACAAAATTATGAAAGTTGCAATTTTTAAGACAAAACTTTCCGTCAGAATTTTCTATTTTATGCTGACACTTCCATGCAGTATGTTGTTTTTTCGTAAAAACATAAACGTCACATAATTTTGTATTTATTCGTGCGAGCGATATATCCTGTGCATGCAAAAAAGACAAAACGCGTGACTTATGATTAAAATATTTGCATGAATTATTTTGAATTTCACCTGGTTGCCAATTCCCGAACGTTTGTGTTTGCAGGCAATTTCGTTCATCTCAGCTGAAGTCAGCTTTGGCCAGTGTCACAGTCAGACATGCTGGATTTGTGAACCTGGAGAAGAGTATGAAGGAGCTTCACCATCTCTACAACGATTTTGCTTTCCTCGTTCATTCTCAGGTTGTACCAGTAATTCCAGCTACTTTACTTTCACAGTGCATTAACGAAATGTTGTGTTATCATTAATCACTGATGTATGATAACACAACTTTTCACTTGCATGCCGTTGCAACACTTTACTATTTTCATGCTTCTTAAATCTCAAGAATTTTATAAGTGCTCAGTGGCTTTGTTATTGGTTCAAATTATATGTAAAGGTATGATTTAACATACTGATCTCTATTAAGTTGTGTGATCAGCTGTTTTCAGTAGCTCGTAGCTCTCTTATTTCGTTCATTTATTTTCCACACTTTAGCGCACTCTTCTATGCATTGTGACTGGCAATATTACGAAGAAATCACTGTCATTTTTCATTATTCTTATGACATTATTGTTTTTGTTTGTTTATTATTTATTTTTTTCTGCCTTTTCTTTCTTCGTTGAGCTAAAATTTGATCCTTTCAATTAATTACGTCAGGGAGAAATGATCGATCGAACTGATCAGAATATTAGTGCAGCGAGTGACCACGTCAAAGCAGGTAATGAGCAAACTCGTACAGCAGTAAAATATGGAAAATCGAAAATGCGCAGGGATTACTATTATTTGTCTATTGCATCAGTATTATTGCTTATTGTTTTCATATTTTTCACTCTTATTGTTTATTTTTCAACTAGGCGAATTCGAAATTTCCCCTGATCAACTTCAAAATTCTCAACGATTTTTTGATCTATTAGAAGCAGTTTGAGCAAAATCTTAGCACTTTTCCTACGGCATAATATTATGAACTATTCAGACTTTGCAGTTTTACTTAGACTTAAAACATTAGAAATAAATATATCAAATCGATTGTTATTGCGTTCTCTTAAAGAAACGACAAAAGATATTTATTTTTGATCAAAAAGTAAAATTTCTAGAATAATAACGGACTTCTTATTTCAAAAATTTATCACGTTGTAATCAAGCTTGAAACAGCTTCTAGTAGATCAAAATTTTCAAAGCTTATTGCTGCTTATTCCTCGCATTCTTGTTCCTCGCTAATCGTTAAATTTCACGTTTTTATCATTTTTTAACTTCTGTGACGGTTCAAGCAGTGAGTTATTGTGCTGTCATGAATAACAGACTGGAACTGAGTAGTACACAAATTATTACTGAGTATTACTAACGCAACTGATGCCTTTTCTTCTTCGAAACTTCACTGAATATTCAGCGATATGAATCAGTTTCGCACTTGTAGAATGATATTTTCAAAAACTTCGTGCAACAACTTTGTTGACGAAGAAAGCTTCTCAAGTGTTCACAACCCGACACTTTTTATTTTTTGCAATTCATTTCAGATAATTCTGTCAACTGTTAACAAAATTCAGCATCGCTTATAATTTTCAAATTATTTCTGACTTGAACTAATCTGTTTTAAGCTAATGCTACAAATCCGTTTGCACCACTTCAAGATAGCACATGATCTTATTCAAAAACAACATATTACCAGCACGACAACTATAAGATATTATTACCGATTTGATTACCGAAAAATTCTGCTGCTATTTGAATAATATGAAATAAGCGTTTGGTTTCTAAAAATGCTATAAATTGAAATAAAAGTTAGTGCAAGTACGAATAGAAAAGAAATTAAAAATATGAGAATAATGTTTTCATACAAAACCAGTCCTAAAAAATGCAGATTATTTTCTTGCGAGATTGCTATTTACTTAAAGTAATTTCGAGCCCAGTAGTCAACGTTGATCATTTCCTTCGCACTTTCCGTGATGATAAACAAAGTTTATGGTTTGCTTCGCAGTCTGATTGATTTAGACTTGACTATTACTCATTTTCCGATTGACAGTGATTTGCAGTTAGCGTCATTTTATTCGCCTGAAATTTTCCGTCTAAGTAAATAACTGTTTAATTCTATGCTAAAAAATCGCAGGCGACAAATCAGCGATCAATATGTGACCCAGCGATCAATATGTGATTTCTTACTCCAAAAATTAACAATCCGTAGAGTCAAGACAACCAAACTGCTTGTACACAGGAGCTGTTAAAAAAAATGAGGAAGTTGACGAGAACTGTAAATTATGCAGCTTGGTGACTGGATAGCACTAACCAGAAATAACGTGAGTGCTAAGTTTTAGATGTAAATTATGTAGGGCACAAATTTAACCGATTTTCATTCCCAAGCATCATACATTCGGAGTGAATAATCAAAATTCATGAGATCGAAATTTTCATTATGAGCGTTAACAAAACCATGCTGTGCCGGCGAATACACCCTAGAACCATGCGTGGTGGTGTGAGAGTGGCAATGGATACGTAACAGAGACGGACGACGTGGTAGTCATACTTAGTTGGCAAGCCGTCCTAAATGATATCATTGCTTTCGAGAACAACGTAATTTACATGTGGTTTGCACATTCATTGCAGTTATTTGCTGGATGACTCTGACGACAATGGCAGTTGTTGATACTGGAAGGAAGGAACGTGGTAGCTAAGGTCTCCAACTTTTGTTTCTACACTTCATGCTTGCTAACTTTCGATTCTTTACTGAACTACTTCACTATTAATATATACTAGAGTTTTGCATACACATATATTCATAGCAAGTGCAGCTTCATTCATTTACTTATTATTTATTTTGCAAAATATTTATTTATTTTGCAAAATAAGTAAAAGCAACTAAATCTTATAGTGAGTGATGCGTAGTTTGTGTTGAAAAGGAAATGTTTGGAGTAAAACTCGTTTAAGAACGTTCTCTAAGCACGTTATGACTTGCTTGTCAGCACTGCTCTACGCTTTTTTTATTAGCGTTCAATGGAGCTTTTGGTACTCACATTAATGGTTTGGATTCTGTTGTAAGCTGTCACGATGTATCTTCACAATTACTATTGGATGAGTGAAAACTATTACCACAAATTACTCTGCTGTAAACATAAGTCACTGCATGTAGTAGAAGCTGCTATAATTGAGCTTGTATAAAAGGCATGGGATTCTGTTGTCGATGTATTTTAAGTGCATTCAATCTGAGAGTAATTTATTTAAGTATATTTAACTTGAAATACATTTAAAATGAGAGCATTGATTGTTCTGAGTATTTTTTGCTATTTATAATTGCTACTGTTGACTGCTTTGTCGTAATGAAAGTAATACCAACAATGGCAGTTCATAGCTCGATTTCTTCGCAGTTACTCAAACTACAATTTTCATTGTACCTACACGATATATGTAATGTTTTGGTCTTTGACACCTCTTTTGATAGTCAATTTCCGTTTCTTTCTTCTAACCATTTCAGTTGCATATATTTTGTAAAAGTTAAACAGCTAGCTAAGATAAGGAACTTTACTTAATACAGTTTATATTGCACTCATTAATGGCATTTGTAAATACTACTAAGGTAATTATACTCGAATACAAAATAAGCATGATATGATTACTGATGTGCACTCTTACTGTGGAAACTAATTTTTCAGTTTCCCATTTGAAGCACTTTTCAAATGATTTCTCGGGTTGCTGTGCTTTTCTTCCGGATAGTAGTGGTGTAATAATAATAATAATGCATTATCTGAGTAAGTTGTAGCAAAGTCTATCTCTCTGTGTTATGAAAGCATGATGTACAGACTTTATTGCTGCTACGTATAATGTTTGAGTAAAGCATAATAGATTTTGAACGCTTCTGTATAAATACAATCGTATTTGACATGAATCTTGAAGGAACTTATTTGCAGAATAGGTGAAGATCTGTTCGTGATTCGATTACATGGACAAGCTGTCAGGAAATGAAGACACAATTCCCGAAGACGTAACTGAAGATGCATTTTTTTTCAAAGCATCAAGCAATTCGTCTTTCAAAGAAAATGTTAGTTATGAGATGAAATGATTTTCGAACTTTCCAGTAGAACTCATTTTTTCTTTTGCATTTTTCAGTTCGTCAAGTTTGATGTTACTGCTGTAATTAACTGTTTGCCCAAACCAGAAGAATGCATGTCTGTTGTAAGCTATCAGTATGTTGAGTATAATATCTAACTTTGAATGTCATTTTATTGAGCTATGAGCTTGGTATTTCTCACTAAGGGCTAATGCATTTCATATTGTTTTTTGATGAATTTTTTTTGCTGCTGTGGGCTGTGTAATTTTAAATAAAAAGAGCATGGATCGTTTATTTTTCAAATTATAATCTCAGTTATTAAAAAAAATAAGAATATGAGCATATTCTTTTTATTTAGGATGTTAGCAAGAAGATGAGATGGCATTCGCCACATCTGGGTCATTTCGCACATTCAGGATGCAGTGCATCGGATGATGGTAAAGATGAGTATACCTTTCATGACATGCCGGATCTAGTAATGGAATGTATTTTTCGATCACTCAATCTTCGGGATCGTTGTATAGCATCTCAGGTGTAATACTTGCATGTGTTTCTTCTTTCACATCAATTTTTTTGATTTACCCCAGCATTATTATTTCAAAGATTTGATCAGTTTGTTGATCAAGCATATTTTCCAATTGGTTGCTCCTTCTACACATTTAAACTAATCTAGGTTTGCAAACGATGGCACTATTTACTAACATACACGTTTCCTATGGAAGATGTGACAGTACTGAATATCTTTCAGAATAAAATATATAGAAACAAAATCTGTAATAACAAAAACATTGGGTATGAATCACTACTGATTTTACGACACTTTGTTTTTAGTTATTCTTCTAGTTCATAATTTTAAAAGTGATAACCAGAAGAATTTTATTTTCCAAAGAAGAAAATTTCTGCTAATAAGTTAATTATACCTCCTAAAGTGAAGATTTCATGTTTCATTGTTTCTAAAAAACCATCCAAGATGGTAATCGGTCATTATAAAGTATTGTAATTTATTATGGAGAAAATACGTTTATTTTGTCTACAAAGTCGTATGATTTATTTCTAATCTGCAGTTTGAAATGTTATTGCGTTGATACAGTAGACCAGTTATTAATCGCATTACTGCATTGTCGAATAATAAATAGTGTCAAAATATGGTTCGCTGACAGCATTTTTGCTGAAAGAATATTAAGTAAGTCTACCCATTTATGTTTACTCAAGAATCTTCTACATTATACTATTTGTTACTTTTTCAGTGTATTCATGTTTATAAACTCTTATTACCGTCTTTACTATTTTTTCTAAATTGAATTGTTATTAATTTATACGTATGTACGATGGATTTTTAAACGTTTTAAGTGTCAAAGGACCATAAGCAACCATTTTATCATTTTTACTGTTTTTCAATCTCTTGATCAGCATCAGATTTCTGAATAATATAATCGCTGAAAAGTAAGACTCATTCGCATTAATTTCTTTATGACTTGAGCAATATGGATTGAATATGAGTAGAGACGTTTTGTTTTATAGGGAAACTGAAACAAGCTAAAGTTAGAATGAGGTGCTTGGATTTGTATCCATATGGTACAGTAAGTTTTAAAGATTTATTCTATCTTTAATTCCTTATTAAAAAAAATATCTGTGATCACTCGTAATATTTCAATATTTAACTGCATGATTGGGATATTTGTGTAATTTACTTTCTCTAGCAAGGATTTCATGTCGTTGGGCTGTCTTAGAAGCATGAAGATAAAATAGTGGTTGTCGTCTGATTGTTTGCTTTTGTTATAGGAAAAAGCACTGAAAGAAGCTTTTAGTTTTTTTCCCGAACTTACGGGCATGACTATGCGTCCGCATGGTCAACAATTTTTTTGGAGCGGATTGAATATGGATTGGTTTCCTACATTTTCTAAATTGGACACACTTCTTTTAGATGGATTTAATATAAGTAAGTTCTGTTGACTAATATCTTCGTGATAGTTTAGTGGACTCAGGGACGTTATTTTCTAAAAACGATTTTGAAAAACAACTTTTGGCTAAAGCTCTAATTAAGTGATAGTTATCAGGATGTCCGCATCAAAGTGCTTGAATTTTAACTATGTTTTTACAGTATCGTACCAAAACCTAAGTGAACAACTGGAGAACGAGAAATAATCACTGTTAATTAGATTATCTCTTTTCGAATTTATTATTTTATATGATTGAAATTTGGTATAAAACGGTAGTTTATCAGATTCCGGAATTTGACAACAATAGTAATTTTTGTTTTTTAGTGTTTCAGGGTTTCAGTATTATAGTATTTTAGTTTTTTTTATATGCATGAATTGAATCTTCTTTGAAATTTTTTCCTTCCTTAGCATATAAACATATTTCTTATTCATTTTGAGGACCAGAAGTTAGTTTGCCACAAAGTCTCACAACATTGGAGTGGCTGAATCGAAGTGGAAATTTTTCACATGTTATTCCAAAATTAAGTAGTTTGGTGAATTTGGAATATCTGATGCTAGGACATGCGGAATTTTTACTCCCTGACGAATTTGACTCATTTTTACAAGTGATCAGCTCAGAAAATATACCAAAATTACAGTACCTTGTAAGTTTTTCTACTATAGTTATCTAATTACGTTCTAAGATTCGTCTTTTTCCACAAATATTTATTACTTTTTTTTATTCGCGAGTATGTCAAATACAGTTATCGATGCGCATATCATGTTTTTGTGCATTTGCAGATCTAATAATGATATAAAAATGTACCGCTAATTTTGAAATTTTTGGTGTTTATTTCGTAGTTTAACTTTTATTTCATGGCTTATGCCGTTACAATTCTGCTATCACTGATAGTATTGGTATCTAGTTACTTTCAGGTTTCATGTCATTGAGAAAAATTTCTTCTGATTTATTTCTTTCCATTGTAATGCGTTATGAAGTAGACTCCAGTATATTTATGGTTATTCGGTAGAAATAAAAAAATAATGGGAATGAATTTTCGGAACTTTGTTAAAATCCGTCAAGGATCATAATAATTTGTGATATTACAGCATAGAATAAAGAACATTTGAAATTATAAGTGTTAAAGGCATTAAGTTGCTGGAGGTTTTTACATGAAACAATTCGTAAGTCGTTTTTAGTTTTAGGCTTAGTGTGCAATTAAGTTAACTTATTTGTTTCTACGTTTGGTCTTATTTAAAATTAGAGTTGAATTGTTCTGTATTCATCATCATAATGGAGAAAATAAGAGTTTACTTAATTCAAACCCTCTAATAAAATGCTTTGGGAAGAAAAATCTTGAGAGAAAAAGTAATTTTAGCAGTTTCTTGCAGCACAAAATTATTCGTCTTGGTTTTTCTTCAGATTATTCGTCTTGGTTTTCATGTTATTACAGGACATAAATTTCTAAGTTATAATAAATGATAGACCAAAAATCATCTATCATTTATTATAACTTAGAAATTTATGTCCTGTAATAACATGTTCATGTTAGCCTCAGATGACGGACAGAAATTGTATGAATGTGTACATGTTACGTAACGTTGCAAAATAGTTATCATTAACAATGTGATACTAAAATATGACAACAAATCAATAGAAAATTTTGCTTATTTGTGCAGAAAGAATGAAGTTGAACCACGCGTCTGTATTTTTGAATTTTGAATAAGTCATGAAGCCTTCGACACATTTGCATTTTCGTTTGTCCCAAGTATAAGTTCATGTTAAATGTTATTCTGTAGCAGATATTGTTTTTGTGTTAGCTATTCAATGAAGACATGTTAGCATTGAAAATCTGGCTTCGGCTAAGGAAAGTTACTGGTGATTTAATTTGTGCCATTGTCTTTGCACAGATTGTTGAAGGAAATATGACCATGAGAGAAACAAATTAATAAGATTGAAATTGATATGTAAGTGAAGTTTAGAGTATGTAATTTAAGTGTGCTATTTACTTCATGCTCAAACTTTTATATGAATGGAAACATCTTGTTTCATTTTGGAAAATAAATTAGAGTGTTAAAATGAAGTTTTTCAAAGTTCATTCAAGTTATATGAACTGTGTTACATATGGAGTTTGATAAAGTTTAACATATTTATTGTATATTTTTAATTTATGGTTTTGGAAATAAAATTGATTGTTGTAGTTTCCAATACGGCTTAAAAATTCTCATTTGCAGGTATTTCGGTATTGCAAAATTCAATTAAATCATACGCCTGATGCTTTTTACAAATCAAGTAGTAACACTGGAAGAAATGTGTTCGGAAGCAACATTGAGGCGGTTGCTAAACTTAATTCGTTACAAATCCTTAAGTTGGATTTATGCAACTTAGATCTGGACTTAACTGTGCGGCGAATTATTGCGCATACAGGGTTTAATCTAGAGCTTTTTTTTTACTAACACTGAAAATAATATATCTGTGAAAGAAGCAAATTATATACGTTTTAAAAAGTTATCGGAAAAACTCTAATTTGTTTATGGAAAGTATTTTACAAGAATTTGTAATTTTATTATGAAAATAAATAATATTTTTTATATTATACAATCAAGAACTAATTTGGAAATTGTTACAAAATGAGTATTGTTTTATATTTAGATCAGCAATGAGAGTAGTGTCTGTAAATGTGATCAGCGAAGAAACTAACTGCGAAAAAATTTATCATTTATCATCACTGATTGCGGAAAAGAAACTCTCCCTTCATTTTGGACTATTACAAAAAGATATGAGGGATGCGTAAGTTAAATTTCATTATTTTTCGTCATTGTTGTTGTTGCAGGAGTTTAGTAATGTATCATTTGATTCTATAATTTTTATTATTTCAGCTCAAATAGAAGAATTTCATGGAAGTCTCCTCCTGCATCGTTTGGAAGTGTTCTTGCTCGATTCGAAGCATCATTTGTTACTGATGCATCCCTTCTAAAAACTTTGTTACTCACTCATCCTTTACCACAATTAACAGATTTAAAATTTATTCAAGTGTCATCTATAACTTCTCAAATACTGCAGCATATTTCATTGGTATTTATTACTAGAAAATTTGTTTGGTGGCATTTTTTATTCAGACTTTATCATTTGTGGTCATAGTGATGAAGTATAACTGAAATTCAATTCAGTTTAATTATTTATGATTAATATCAAAGAGACAAGTGCTTCAGCCTTTTTTATTTCCTTGACATAGTTATAAAAACTAGTTTTGAAAGTAGATTTGCATTTTTGCATAACTTTTTCTGTGATTTTCAGACTGCTGTACTTTTACGAAAGTTGTCTATCATAAACTGTTGCGAAGATGAGTTGGATGTTGGTATTTCCCAACTAATCTTCGGTTTCCAAAATATTCTGTCGAAATCACTTCAGGTTAGATGTTTGAACATGACAAATTAATCATTTTCTTTTCCAAAGAGTGCTCATTTCGTCGTTTTGACTTTAGGTTATATGGAAACGGAAACTTAATCAGTCGTACTCATTATACGACACATTAATCAAAGATCGATTGAGTTTCATTAAACCTTTTAAAATCCATATCATTCGAAAGAAATTCGCTGCGAACAGACAAGGGGAAAAAATTGTGATTTGGGAATCCGAAACAGGAAGATCAATGCATTTACAAGTTGGTGCAGCATTTTATTTATTTATATAAAATGTTCGTAGATTGTAATTTTTTGCTGTTCTGTTTTCTTCACTGCAGTAATGCATTTGCTCTCTCTTTAGTTTCAATGACTATGTAAAATTGTTAGTAAGGCAATAAAAGAGTTTTCTTTCGAAGATGATTTTTAAAACATCAAGTGACTGACGTTAGTTAGACATTTGAAAGTGCAAGGCTCAAAGTGCAATGCGTAATTATAGTGAGTTAATTGTAGTATTATCGGATGATTATTAATGTGGTGATAGCAATACTATTCGGATAATATTCTTCAGGACTGGTTTTTTTCTACTTGTTATTTAAATATTTTTTTAGTAGCGAAGAAATACTATGATTGCATAAAGTCGAACTCTCACATATAACTGAAGGTCTGACGTTTGTCAAAGTGTAAATCAGTATTTCGTTTTAGGATTTTGATAGTAACGATCAGGGTCGAATATTAGGTATTTTAATGCCTCCTGATTGCGATCTACAATTCATGGAAGGCAATGGATGCACATCTAGCGTTCAATTTTAAATAAAAATGTGACATGTCCAAACATATTGTTGATGAAAGGTTTTTTTTTTGCTATAATAAAAAACTTCATCATTTGAAAAATTTGCGTTTTATTTGAGAGGGTTCTTTAGTTTATCAACGCTAAAATCCCATTAGAATCAAAGCTGCTATTTAAAAAACCAAAAAACTTTTCATCATTTCAGAAATTTTCGTTACATTTGTGAGTGTTCTTTAGTTCATCAACTCTACAGGATCTTCTCAATCAACATTGCTGTGAAGAAAATTCTTTCATCATTTTGAAAACTTTACTACTTTAAATGTTTTAGGAATAAATCCACACTTTTTTGGTAATTTTTCTCTCTTTGGCTTACATTTTTTAAGTTCTACCGTTAGCTAAGTTATCATCTTTTTAGCGCCATCTATTAATTGTAGATATAAAAATATTTTTAATGTTACTCGGCAGCTTTTTGTTTCTCATTTATGTCCATGATAAAGTGTTTTAAGCGCAGTAGAGATGTTTTTTATTTTTCACGTTAATTTGGAACGTTTATAAAGACATGCATTTACGCTGCGTGTTACTTTTTTATCCATAACTAAAACTAGCCGAAGCGTTAAATAATTAATATGGGTGATTTCAAATGAAAAATAAAGCTCAGTAAATGGGATTTATGATCTATATTAGTCTGCGAGCGATTTATCATTTCTCTGCAGGTTTATTTCAAAGTTTTTGATGATGCTATTGAAGTCAAAAGCTCTGGGGATTTCTTGATTTTCAAGATTGTTTGCATTACAAGGCCACATCAAATTTTTTTGTATATGTAGCATGAGAATTATTTCACTTGTTTATAGTATAAATCAAATCTGTGCAAATAAGATTTTTGGGAAACGGTTTCGTCGAAAATACGTGTTCAACTTACTCTTTTATCATTATAGAATTTTTGTTGAAATGAATTTCCCAGAAAATGGTCGTACATTGCAAGATTGCCAAAATATAGCTTCCTTTTTGTAGTCATTGTTTGAAATACAACTGCACCGTAACCGAAACTCTATCTTTTTTACATACCGAAATTGATTAGGAGATCGAACCAGCTCTGCTCGACGTATAAATTAGTGTGTGTGAACTAAATGATTCTTACTGAAATGAGTAACAAATGCATTTGATCGAGCACATTATCCTTCTGCGAGACTATTTCTTCTTAGTACTTCAAATAAATTTTCAGTAACTAGGCTTGAATACCACTAGCAACACTATGATATTTTGTAAGAAAATGTCGATAGCAGAGGATCGCCTCTGTAATAAAAGTAGTAAACATAATTTAGAAACCAAAATGATTTATTTTTTTGTAAGTATTTTACTTATAAATAAATCTTCTATTTTCATATTGTTAGCTAATTTTGTGATTTGTTTGGTTTTGCCGCTGCAAAATTTGTCATTGTCATCAAGTATTGGTGTAATTAGTAATCAAATATCAGATTGTGATAACGATCAAAATACTGTTTTTCATTAATAATAGAGACAAAGAACCGTGAGTAAGGATTTTTCGATGCAGATTTTTGGATATTGTGTTACGTTACATTTTTGTGAAGGTATCCAGCCACTGTAAAGGTTGGAAGGAAGTAGAGTATATTAAGCACTAGTTAATTGATTACAAGTTTGGATGAATGTGAAGGAAAACTAATTGATGTTAAACAGGGATATTTGGCTTGGGAGAGGAATAGTGCTCTTCACTTGAGTAATTTTTCATCTGAATTCTGTGCCAAAAGTAAAGTTGCGTTGGTCAGATTTGATCCAAGCAGTGATGTTGAGAAGAAATGAGAATAGTCTGTTTTCCAGCACAGAAATTTCTGATGTACTCTGTATTTGACCATGAAGTCATCTTAAAAATTTCATTATGTGAAGAATGTTACACTGAAGTATAGCTGCATTCTATCCGAAGTGAATCAGTACATGGAAGTGTTTTGAAGTGATTTCAATGCATATGGAGTGTAACAGAAGTTGTGACGTTGCCTTTTACTCAAGAACTGAATTGATCTGATTTTTTTCGTTAAGGCATTCCCAATCAGGCCATGGAACGCATTCTTACCTCCGGTAATAAAAGTACTAGCGCCTGTTCTATATCGCATTTTCTTGCGTGTGCTAACGTGTGTCGTTTTTGTGCCGTAATTTTTGGTAGAAGACGAGAGGACAGACGTATATGATATACCCGCTTACCATATGAATTACTGAACGTGGTCAGCGCGTGCTTCTTTATGCATTGGATGACTGTGTGCTCGTTATCTCGATATTGCAGTCAAGAAACGCGTGTATTAACTAAGTTACAGGCTGTAATTCAGCTCCCAGTTTCTCTACATAACATGGAAATTTTGTCGTCTCTTACCGTTCTGTACATTACAATAAGTTATTTCAATTTTTATTTCGTATATTAATTGCTAATTCTATTTAGAAAATGGCAGTGGCAGTGATTAGTGAACTGCATCACTTTGTTTCTGAGTTGAATCTATCTCATTTATTATATCATTAATATTCATATCAATAATAATAATGAATATCAATATTATTATTATCATTATTATTATTTTTATAATTATAATTATTTTTTATTATTACTACTATAATTATGATTGTATTGCTAATATGATATTATATTAATAATCAATAAACAGAGATTATTATTATTATTATTATTATCATTATTAATATTGTTATTAGTATTGTTGTTAATATTATTGTACATTATTGTGTTTTCTTATCATTATTATTATTACCATTACCATTGTTAAATTACTATACCGTGAATATCTTTAGCTAAATTTCTCCTTAGGTACAAATTTTCACCTAAAATACAATCTTATGCTACTAAACGGAATTATTATAGGGAAACAAATCACCTCAGATCATCAGTATTCAATTAATTTTTTGCCTCATAACTATTATATATTACGGGCTGAATACTCGAACTGTGATAGAAGACACGAAACTTCCGATTGTCGCAGGTAAGCTTGGAATCATATTGAAAAGATACGTTACATCCAGTTTCATCACAATTTTTCTCAATTATTTGAGAATTCTTACTTTGTTTTTAGAATCACGGAAAAAAAATTTACAGAGATATTTAAAGCTGATTTGTAAAATATACTTTTTTTTCCACTTTGTAAGAACTGAACTCTTGTTTAAATGTGCAGTTTCCGGGCTCATTAGTAATGACGACTTTCAATGTTTTTGCTTTGGGATGGATAGTAAAAAATAAGCTTGCTCTTCTTCCTCGTAATTTTAATTGTTAGCTATCACATTTTACTTTATCAGAAATGTATTTTGGCTTAAAATTGTGCCCTTAATATTTGTTGGGAATTTCAAACAACTTTCAGCTCATTTTTATGATTGCTGCTTTATCCATATTTGAAAGGAATATTTAGCTTTTGAAGGTTAGCCATATGAATTATGAACTATAGCCATAAGAATTATGAAACTTTCAATTGAATTGTAAGGAATATTAGTCAATTTTTTTTAAATAATAAATTGAGGAAAACTATTCAATTTTAAATGTTCTACAGCATACGTCGTAAGACGTCCGCGTAAGGCATTGTACTTGATGACTGATTCGTATGTGACTCAAAAGAAAGACGGTAAAGAAAAGTCTCATAATCACGAAACGACTGACAAGGGACACGCGAGCAGATGGTCAAATGTTGAAGAAAAGAGTAGAAATGGCGGCGGTCAGTTACGTAAAATGTTTTTTGTTGCTTTCACTTTATTAGTGTTATTGATATTGGAATCTCCTGTATTTATGTGGATTATATTTATTAACCAGATCAGTGTGTAGGGAGATTTAAATCGTATCTTGAAGAATAATTTATATTAATCCAGCAAACCCCATTATTGGTAATGCATTGTAAAAAGCATCACTTAGACTCTTATATCGGTTTTTTCGTTTATCTCTTATATCGTTTTTTTAGAAGAAAGTATCGCGAAGTTGAAATCAACATCTCAAGAATGTACCGGTATAAATAATAGTGTTCAAACAGTTGATGAGTTCAAGAATCTCATGTATGAGGTATTTTTATTGCAGTATATATTTTATATTAATTCTATTATCAAGAATTTTTCAACTTTGATTTAATTGTATCTAATGAGGCAAGGTATAATCATTATCTAAGCAAATAATTTTGCAAATGACTTTAATTATTCAGGATCAATCTTAACTTACCGAATAATGGTGTAAGACGTTTATGTATTGAATTTGATTGGTAAGTTTCTTGATTTTAGCCTTACTTCAGATGCAGAAAACTCGACGTTTAATTGTTGATGATTTGCTAAGTGCAAGGGAACTACGAGATGGTAACATTCAGATCTTGGAACGGACTTATGAAAGATTGACAGATAATCAAACACATTTATTTCAACGTGAAATGTGTACGAAGACGATGAAATTAAGTTTAAATATCAAAGATGAAATACTGGGTCTAAAAGTAATTTTCGTTTCTAAAGTCCATTTGTATTTGTGTTAAAGTTTCTTATAATTTGTTTTATTTTAGGTCCAGAAATGGACATGCATAAAATGGTATATTCTCAAAAGTGAAATCAATGTAGTATTCTGAAAGTATGGGCAAAATTTGCTCTTCAAATTTCCTATAAAGTAGAATTGCTCTCTGAGTTTTGCAGAAATAAGTAAAAATTACAGTGAAGACGTATTTCTTTGCATTGCAAAATGTCTATTATTTTTAGAAAGACTTGAAATATCTCAAGAAGTTGCTTCAAATTCGGAAAAGTGAACCAAATTTGTCATGGTTTGCAATAATGTCTCAAGTTGATTTGATTTCACTCTTAGCCGGTTATCATCCTGAAAGTAAAGAAAAATTTGTTAATGAATATGAAAAAACTGTGGTGTAAGTTTCTAGATTTATGCTACTTTGTGTTTAGTATTTTTTTATGTCTTTAAATTTTAGCCCAAAAATCATTTATTGGAAAATTTCATAGCAGTTTATGTTAAATTTCTGACAGTTTATATTTTAGACTGCTTCGGACGTTTGTTAATTCAGCAGTGATTAATGGTAAAAAACCAATATTTGTTACTGACTGGGATGGTACTATGAAAGATTATTGCTCGCAGTATGCAACAAATTTTCAGGTAGTTCGCTGGCAGTACAACGATATTTGAGCTCCTCTTTTAAATCTTAAGAGACTTAGAGCTTTCATCATATTATTTCTTAAAGTTATGTTGTGAATTTGAAAGATTCTTGAGGACTGTGATGATTAAAGTGCTTTTAGTAGTAAAATTAGACCTCATATGCAATTTGAATTGTTTTATTAAGCCCGTGTACAGCGCGATTGGTATGATCCGTTTCGCAGATTGTTTCACGCGTATTAGTGCTGTACTAACGGCTGGCCCACTTCGAGGTCCTGGCATACTCGATTTAACTGCAATGCCAGTTGATGGCCCAGTGAAGTTCAGTGGCTCGTGGGGTCGTGAATGGTGGCTTTCAGGGAGGAGGGTCGTTCATGAAGATGGAATCACAGAAGAAGGTTTCTCGGCATTGCAGCGTTTAGATGAGGAAGTATGCAGCAAATCTACTTTAAATTTCTGGAAAATTTAGTTCTTCAACGCTCACTGCATATTTCACTTTGTATCTTTATTTCATCTACATTTTCATTGACTATCAAGTTTTCGAAATCTAGTGAAAAACAAACATATATATGTGTTAGGAAATTTCAGATGAAGGACTTGTTACGTTCCTCTGATTACGCTTCATTTGCACTTGTTGGCAGTGGCGTGCAACGAAAAGTTGATCGATTAACGCTAGGAGTTCAAACGGTTTGTCATCATGTAACTACTGAATTATCCAACAGGTATCAGATGGCTGTACTGGAACGAATGCATCGTGTAGATCCAAATAATGCAGTATGCTTTGGGAACTCATTACTTTGAATTATTAGTAAATTATTTGCTAAAAAAGTTTGTACAATCAGGAAGAATCACGTTATGGTCAAACATAAATTTGCCAACGTTTGAAGTCAGCGTTATTTCCAGTCTGAGTATTTTAAGTCCGTGACTAGTTCTTTTAATTTCCAATACTAATTTTTTTGAGGTACTGGTATTCGATCCATCAACGGAATTAGAGGTTGAAGTAGTTGCACACAGTTCTGGAATTATTTGGAATAAAGCTGATGGCGTAGATCGTCTAATTAAAAGTTTAGGAGACTCATTAGAGACCCCAGGGAAAGTTTTAATTTGTGGTGATACTGCATCTGATTTACCTATGGTTCGACAAGCTGCAAGATGTAATCCGAGTGTGAGTTTTCTACTTTTAGATAATATTATTAGTCAAAGTTAAGTCGTAGAAGAACTTAATATAAGAATACTTAGCAAAAGCTTTTTTTTGAGTCATTTTTTCAATGAACAATTAGTTTTATAAAGTCTGTTTGTTATAAGAAGTCACTAATTGGCTGTCTAAAAAGTTTTTTTATATTCTTATTTTTGATTGAAGGGTGTTATGGCGATATTCGTTAGTACAAGACTCACTTTGCATGATGAAGTGTTACGAATCATTGGTGATATTAATCGATGTTGTTTTGTATCATGTCCAGATGTCATACATGCAGCAATGTCGCAAATACTCAGAGAAGAAAATACTGCAAAAAGAATTTTTTAACAGAAGGAAAAATAAATGTAGAAAAAAATATTCTGATTTTATTAAGGTTTTAATTTTTTTGCATTTGCTCTTTACATTATGTGAAGTTCTTTAATTGAGACTGCAGAACATCAAATTTGTTCCGATTATAGTAGTGAACTGCAATTTTTGCGCTTAGAATTTATTTTTCAGTGGAATTTTTCGAGGAAAAACTTCTCTTACAGACTTTAAAATTGAAAATGTTTACATTTTTTCATGATTTCAACGTTTACATTTTCTCATAATTATTACCTGGTTGCGAAGCTCAATTTTCTTCGAATTTTTAGAGATCGTATATAATTAGAAACTCATTTGTTACTATGGTATTAGGATGTAGTTGCTGTGATATATAATTTTCATTTCTAGCTTACATTGATGTGATGAATGAGATAACTGTACCGAGAGAAATGCAGACATTTTTACAAAAATTTTGATCTCGCTTGCTTTGTTCCAAAATATCACCCAAACTATTATTGGGTATTTTTATATATAAGTTGTCACTTCTTTTCTTAAAACATGTGATTTTGAGCATTTTTTGCAACGCCTTTTGATGTTAACTTCATAAGTGCTGCTTTTTCACTCTGCTCCGCTTTGTGTAATGCTTGGTGCTTTACAGCATTATTCTGTCTTGGAATTGTATGACATTACTAATTGAACAAACACTGATGTGAAATGATTTTTTGGCTCACTTTTTTCATGCTTGTTTGAGTAACGGTATCTGAACAGTTCGATTTGTCTTCGTAAGAATTGTGAGTTACATTGAGTTTAGATATAGCAGCTCATTGTACTTCACAGACGTTCATTCCTTTATGCAAGCTGTGTAATTGCAATCTTTTAATTTATGAAGTTTTGTAATTTAATCTGGAGCTAAAATAAGGTGATAGAGCAGCTATTTATGAACCGATTATACCTGGTGCTTTCATTTTGTTTTGTAATACTCTCAGGATAATCTTTAACTTGGTGCTTAATTTTACATATATATTATAAGCACGGAGTTATATATTGAGCTTGATTATATATATATAATCAAGTCAATAAAAAATTTCTTAAACTTCTGCTGGATAGTACACACCATCATCGCAAACATATTCTCTTTACTGCATTTGCAGATACTAGGGATTGAATTGTATCCACAATAACAGTATCGAAATGATTACATAGATCGTCAGTGTGAGGAGCGTCAATATGTTTTAGTAATTTGTGTGCTGTGATTCGAGCGTTGCCGCGGAGTGTCATGTACGACAAGTGATTATGATGAATATTATAAGTAGACTTCAAAGATTAAGTGATTAGTATTTATCGTTCGTAGCCTTTAAATTAGTGTCAAGCATTTGCAGATACTCTTAAAAGTATAAAATTATCATTGTTTGTATATTCAGTAGCAATCAAAGGAATTCAATGCTGATAAGTCTTGTAAGGAGGGATTGATGATAATCTACTGGAACGTACTATGTTTAATATTATTCAGCGCAGCTGATCATCTGTTGTCGTCATGTTCTGCACTTAAAGTGTTGGTTTTATTTTCTCCAAGTTTATATCGTGAAAAGTGTTGAAGTTTGTTTGAAAAAAATAACATCGTTAACTTTCTCAGTTAATTTACTTTCCAGCGTTAATTTTTGTTCGAAAAATAACATTAATTTCCACAAAAAAATATCATTAATTTTGTTTGTAAATAAAACATTAATTTCTGCAATTTCCAGCGTATATTGTTTCGTATGATGGATATTATAATTCGTATTTCCGGTATAGTATTATTAAGGAAGTATTAGAAATTGTCGTAAATATCGAACCCAGGCCTCTTTTGTTTAGCGATTTCGATGTCATTGAAGTAATTTCTACTGTTTATCGTGATTGAACATATAATGAGTTCTTTTGATTTCATTAAAAAATTTAACAGTTTTTTAGTGACAATCTTGAAGGATTAGAGATAATTAATAGATTACTTCTTCAGGTATCGGTGTTGAATTCGAGCAAATTTATTGAGTTGGCATTACGATCACTTCGAACCAAACATGTGACTACCAACAGTCTTTTCTACAAATCAGCTGTTAAGTCAAAAGCGTCGCTTTGATGGCACCGAAATTCATCAAATTACCAAACTGGTCCAAATTGAAAAATTGTGGAATATGGGTTTTCGAGGTATTACTTGGTATTCGTATCCCGAATCATCAAAAAAGCCTATTAATTGACTGAAAGTATGATTATTTATATCCCTATGTCAGGATTCCTGCCTTTTAATCATTTTTCTTGATACAAATTGATTCAAAAGAAGTATATACATAGTAATAAACATGGAATTACATTGGAAGATATAATATTTGGAACAAGATATTGATAAACTTTGTAGGAAAAGGCGTAAAAGTTGCTGTTTTCGATACTGGCCTTAATGAGAATCACCCACATTTTCGAAATATTATCGAACGAACGGACTGGACGAATGAACAAACTGCTGACGATGGTGATAACCGTATTTATTCTGAATGATGTTATTCACCACTATTACTCGTTATCTAATGAGCTTATCGAACTGCAGTTGAACTTTCAGCCTGAATTGGAATAAAGTATTTGAAAATATTGCAGTTTAGGTCTTGGACATGGTACTTTTATTACTGGTGTAATAGCTAGTTCTGATGATAAATGTAAACGATTTGCCCCCGATGCAAGTATTTATGTTTATAAGTTGTTTACTAAAAAACAAGTAAGTTTAGTCAGATTCTCTGTTACTATATAATTTTTGGCCGCATCGACACATCTGTTTCCGAATTAATAAAATGCATCGAAATTTAAAAATTATCAAAGATGTCAAAAATTGGACATTTTCTGTATTAATTAAAAGTAAAGATCAAATTTGCTGTTGCATGCTTTAATTTGATATATATTTCAGGTTTCCTTTACCTCTTGGTTTTTAGATGCTTTCAACCATGCTATATTTCGTGGTATAAATATTTTAAACTTAAGGTAACTTCAAAACTATTATTGGATTATAAAAAACTTGATTTACTATTTCTGATTGTTAGCAGTTTCGAAATGTTTTTGCTCAAGTAAGATATGGACACTTTCAGTATCGGTGGCCTAGATTTTACAGATATCCCATTTTCGGATAAGATGTGGGAGTTGACTGCAAATGATGTTATTTTAATTTCCGCTGTTGGAAACGAAGGACCAAAGTACGGGTGAGTTTTAGGACTATTAGTTGCGGAAAATAGATCTGTCATCATTTAAATTTATATCAAGTATAAACAACTTTTACCACAAAAGTTGTGATTTTTGATTTAGTGTAGTTGGAAGTTTAAAAATAGAGGCTCTAATTTCACAACCTTGGATTTCAGTACTCTCAATAATCCAGCTGATCAAATGAATGTTATTGGTGTTGGTGGAATTTACGCTGATTCAAAGATAGCTAACTTTTCATCACGTGGAATGACCACATGGGAGCTTCCAGGTTATAATACTCTTGGGAAGCATTTTTCCTTGATTGAAGTATTCATTTGTTTGAATATCTGTGACACTGTTATATATATAGGAAAAAAGTATGAAGATTAGCCTATTTTCCCGCTTTATTAACTCCCATGTTCACATTTGTTGTGCTGATTTCTTTTGCTTCATCCTCGTGCAGTCTGTAGCCGTCATCAAATGAGATGCTTTCGAACGTCTTCTTAAGCTTCATCGATTAACGACGTGATCAGATATACCGATCTCCTCCACGTAGCGTGGATGGAAGTTCCTTAAAATTCCATACCAAGTTATTACATATGAAATTATTTTCGTCCTGCATTTCATCCTGCTCTGAGTTTATCAGCCAGAAATCGTACTTTCGCTATTCTCAGTCTCGACTGTTGTCAATATGTCCTGACCATTGATGCCAACCTATATCAAAATTACTTCACGTCGTCCGTACTTATCTTTATAGCTGTTCTTTCTGGCGTATCGGCCCTGATCTCTACGTTCTCATTCGCGACGACTTCGTGAACAGAATGGCTTCTCATGTGCAGCTTACAGACCATACTACTCTGCAAGTGGTCCGAATGGTCCACCGTCTTCACATGTTCCCTACAATGTTGGCTAATACTTTTCATAGCTTCAAACATATTCCTATTTTGGAGGTAGCAGTATCGTGCTTCATTTTGCGGTGTGATGTTTCCGCATTGTATCCATAAATTTGTTCGCATTCAGATTTTGCCTGAATCAGCTATAAACGGAATTTTATTCATCCGCATCTTGTATAACTTTGCATCATGAGTTTTATTTTCTATTTTGCTATGCAAGAGCAGCTTCTGGGCTGCTAATACATTTTCGAAGGTTGAATTTTCTAGGAAGTTTTTTAGTTGTTAGAAAGGGTATAATAATTGCCAAGTACATGTTGTAGGCCTCCTCTTGTTTAAAATCATCGCCCTTTGATTGGCACGGTATCTACAAGAACATTATGTAGCTGAAAAAGGACAAGCTCACTGCTCTGCTTTATTTTATGAAGTCCGAATCATAGCTCTTCCCTTGGTAGGTGCAGTCTATTCAAGCATGGAGGTTGGTTGTAATATTCGTATTTGTTTAGTTGCTATCTGATGTCGTGGTCTATAGCTTTGAAGTCTTTGGCTTTAGCTTGAGCACCTCAATACAATAATTTATTAAAATATACTCATTAAAGATGGTTATGGACGAGTAAACCAGATATAGTTACTTATGGCGCTTCTATTTATGGTTCTGCCAATAACCGTGGCTGTCGTGCTCTGTCTGGAACATCTGTAGCATCTCCTGTAGTTACTGGAGCCGTAGCTGTGATGCTAAGGTTACTTTTGTAAAAAAAAATCGCAAGACTATTTGAGAAATGCCATCCAGTGTATTTAGAAATATGAAGTTTTGGAATTTGATTTCATGATCACAAAAAAATATGTTTTTTTGAATTCTATGAGTTTGATGATGACTACATAAAATCGCTACTTGTTTATTATTCTATCATGTTGTCAGTGGAATTAATAAAAAAAGTTTATGGAATCCAGCAGTTGTAAAACAAGCATTAATCGGAGGTGCTACACGGCTTTCTAATGTTACAACAATGTTTGAACAAGGCGCTGGTAAAATGAACATTTTGGCATCATTTGAATTTATGCGAAAATATTCCCCGCGAATCACGTAATGACTTTTTTTATTGCCATAAAAATCAATACCACGCATATGGTCTGTTGGTTAATTGAAACTCAACTAACTGCTTCATATTTCTTCAATAATTACTGAATAAGTAAAGAAATAAGCGTTAAAATATAGTTTGTCTTGCATTAAAATAGCTGGTGGAGTAGCCTTGGTTTCTAACACAAGATAATTTCAATCATTACAATTTTGATTACTTCTACTGATGTGTGAAAAGTGATGATAATCTTACCAGTTATTTCAGATTATTTCCATCGTACATAGACTTCGATGAATGCCCGTATATGTAGCCATATTGCAGTCAGCCATTATATGCTTCCGCTATACCTTTGATAATTAATGCATGTTATTATTAAAAATTTTTGCATTGTTTGCTTCGTTTGCGATCTTTATTTAGCAGCTTTGCTTTTTCGGGACAGCATTTTGGAAAAAGAGATATCAGAACCTTAGTTTGTTTAATCTGAATTCAAATTTGCAGGTAACCGTGCTTAATGGATTGGGTGTATCAGGTCGTTTAATTGAAGAAGTAAGTATCACTTCATATTTATAAATTTAATTGGGTTAAATTTCATACTTTTCAATTTAGCCAGTATGGGAACCCTTCCTGGATGAAAATGGTGACTTGTTAAATGTTATAATTACGTATTCTGATATATTTTGGCCTTGGTCAGGCTACATGGCAGTTATAATTGGTGTTAAGCGGAAAGCATACAACTATGTTGGAATTGCAAGTGGTAGAATTACTGTCACTGTAGCGGTAAATTCACCTGCTTTCTTTTTTTTTTTCAAAACAATATATATATATATATGAAGTTTGATGTTGGTGGAAACTTATTTCAAAATTATATTTAATTGGGATAGATAGGAAATTAAAATATCATAAGGTAACGGGGACAGTTTTTTATTGTGACATGAAATGATAGTAGTGTTTGTAAATTTCGTATTTTTTTTAACAAAATAGACTTCATATGTTGTTTTTTATTTTTTCAAAGTAATATTTTTATTTCCAGTCTCATGATTATAGAACTAAACTGTCAACTGCTCAACTTCTGGTAAAAGTACACGTAATCCCAACGCCGCCAAAAAAGTTATTTTTTATAATATTCATTTTTTGCTTCTCAGTTCTGGTTTGTGTTTGTTTTCTGTTATTTGTTTCATACAAAAATAAAAATTCATGAGCAAAACACTAAATCTTTGTTTACAACTAAACTATTTTAACAAAAATTTAATATACCTTCTGGAAATGAATCTTAGTCAGCGGTTGTTATGGGATCAGTATCGGAATATCCGTTATCCACCAGGGTATATACCACATGATAATCTACGCGATAAAACGAATTTATTGGATTGGAATACTGATCATCCTCATACTAATTTTAAAGCTCTTTATGAACATCTTCGAAGCAATGGGTATTATATTGAGGTGAGATTTTGTGCAGCCCAAATTTGATGTATTATTTATTGATGAAGTATCTATTTCTAATACATTAAATTTTACAGTGTGAGTTGAGAGAAAAAAGTTAGTTTCGAATTCTTGGAGACTGCTTTCTATAAATAATTTTTTAGTCCTTTCTTTTCACTTACTTGAGTTTAATTGTGAGGTGTTCTCAGCGTCATGATTTTTGTCTAAAAATAGAATGATTTTTATGTAACTTTGAAATATATGTTTGGAAAACCTTGATGCTAATCGAGATGTATCCTGTTAGTTCTCATTGTGATATTTGAAACATTAAGGTATGATCAAGCATTTATGCACAAAAGTATTTTCGTGGCAAGAGTGCTATTAAATTTGACTTTACCAGGTTTGTGGGGAGCCACTCACTTGTGTGGATCTAACTCAGTATTCCACTTATCTAATAATTGATCCAGAAGAAGAGTTTTTTCCAAGTGAACTGGAGAAGTTGTATGCTGAAGTCGATAACGCAAGCTTAAACGTAATCGTTTTTGCTGACTGGTATAATGCATCTGTATTTGAAGAGATTAAATTCATGGACGACAGTACTATGTTTGTTTCTTTTTTTTAACTCTTTGTCGTGCTATATCAATTAAATCATGATTGTAGTAGAGCTACAAGTTTGAACAACTTGATTTTTTACTAATTTTTTATCTATTTCTGTTGTGCCAAATATGTATTTAAAACCTTAATTTAATAAAAATGCTTTTTTTGAAATCACAAGCATATATTGCTCGATTGCAAAATTAACTTTCAAACTGTAATTTAGGTTTACATCCTTTGTGTCATGTATAGGAATTGTTTTCAATCCAGCTTTGATATTGGTAAAAACTCATGGAGATTTTGCTAAATTTCGTCATGAGGAAATTAAACTTATTTTAGTTTTCTTTGATTTTCATTTGAATATTCAAGGAACTGGTGGAAGCCCGAAACAGGAGGATCAAACTTACCTGTTCTTAATGATTTTCTTGCAAAATGGAATATTTCATTGAGTGCACAGGTGAGGGTTTATGTCTGCACATCGATAATCACTGCCTCCATCGTAGTTTTATGTGGTATATAAACGAATTTCCAGTAGAGAAACAGCTTCGCTACTCTAAATCTATATCACTAATAAACTTTCATTTTTTCTCTTATACGGAAAATACTTCATGTTTTCAGGTCTTAGATGGAATTGCAACCGTTGGTCGAAGGACATTTAGGTATTTGTCAGGGACATCATATCAACAGCTCCAGCTGATGCTCTCATAGCATTATCAAATTTGACTGATTTAGTAGGTGATTTTTCATGTACATTCAAGACTTTCTTATGAAAAGATTATATTCGTTTGTTATAACCTTTTTTATAAGGAATATTATGATGTAGTTTAAAATTAATTGTAATAATGAAAAATGTTTAAAGAGTGAAGCATTACTGGCCACAAAGTTATAGCAAGTACCATGATGAAAAATTTTTTTGTCATTCCGAATGAATCAAAGTCATCTCACTTGATAAAGTATTCGGTGGAAAACGGTTTTGTTTCTAGAGGATTTTTCAAAAGTCACTTAGTTTTTTTTACAGAATTGGAGTGAAATTTGTTTATGTATACGATCTGAATCTTTTATCGCTTTCTTATGACTTGAACCCAAGAAGTAATTTGAATTGAACGAGCAAATATTAATTCTCTACTATATTGTTTTTGTTTTTAGAATGCTGAAATTATAAGCAATCAAAAGACTAATCAACTTCATGAAGAGGCTATTTTTTTGTATTATAAGAATTCTTCGTTGTTAAATAAGTAAGTTCAAATTACCACGATGAAAAATTTTTTCGTCATTCTGAATTAATCAAAGTCATGCCATTTAATAAAGTATTCAATGAAGAACGGAGTGGCAGTGTGAAGCGGTTTCTGACCTCTATCTGTAACTAAATTGTTGAAAAATATATAAGAGCAATCCAGAAAATTTTGTGTTGGCCTCATTATCGCTTTAGTAGTCAGTTACTAACATACCAGATTTTTTTCTTGAATTTCAATTTAGGGCACTTTGAGAGTGTGAAATTGAACACAAGGGACAATGTAAAATTTCCATCATCATATAAATATAAAGCATTCTTGACAATTTCTTAAAAATATGTCATTGTTCCATGTAATCTGCATTTAGATCAGGGTTTGTCGCAGTTTTTGGTGACAGTACTTGTCTTGAAATCGGCAACATAGCAAATATCGGAAATTGTGTCTTTTTATTGGAAACACTTCTTATGGAAGGTGGTTTAGCAGAAAGTTTACGACAATCTCTTGAGCTCGTTAGTATTTTTTGCTTTTTTAACGCTATTTATACTGAGCACTTTTTAGACAAAATACTTAAACTATTGCTTCGCTCAGATGAATATTAAATACTTGTTTGATGATTTCTATAAAAAGTTTCGGAAAGTCGTCGATTTTTCAGGTACAAAGCTTTTTCAAAAATAGGATCTTTATGTGGACTAATCAATTTTTTTTTTGCAACTGAATCTTTTTTCTTTGGTGTGAATTTATTTCTAGAAATGCAATATAATGAATTCTAAAAATTATTTCTTTCAATTAAGGCGTTTATCAGTAAACATACTAACTAGTCTTAAGCTATTCAATTCTTTTTAAATTACTATAAATAATTGGTATCATTAACTGTAATTCTTCTTGCAGGCTGGTACAAAGTTATTTTCGAAGTATTCAAGTAGTTTTCAATTACTGAAAAGAAGAACTGATTCGAATTTCCCCATTTATTCTAAGGCTTGTGTAACTTTCCATTTAATTCGAATATATATGAAAATTTTAGTCTCGAGGAATTTTCCTCAAAGTCATTATTCTTAACTTTAAAAAAACTTGGAAACAGGGGCAAACAGCTCAGTTAGAGCGAAGTTTACAGAACGAGTGGATGAATAACACTTTAGGAAGAATTATTAGTTTTAGAGTTTAATTTAAAATATTTATAGGTATTACTGAATATTACTACTAATGCTAAACCAGTATATAAAAAAGTTCCGCAGTGTCGACTTTTACGTCCTGCTGTCTCACGGCCTGTGGGGAACGTCACGCTTCCTCTGTAAGTTCAAGAATTCTTTTGTGTCCAGGACTTATTTATAAAGAAATTTTTTATCATATAAAGGACTGTGTAATGTATATGCAAGACATGTCTCATTTCAATTGCTTGAGAATTGCTAAAAGCTATCTTTATGCAAAATTGTTGATCAATGCTGTCTAATTTTAGAATTCATGACTGCACTAAAATTTTTTTGCTAGGAAAAAAATTTGTAGCAGTTTCAGGTAGTATACCGGACTGTATAATTTAATCATTACACTTACTTGATGATTTATATAGCCATTTTGTCCAGGTATTTGAATCGACAACATTTGTTGACGGATTACATGGATGTTTCTGAGGAAGAGAATAAATCATTACGCAAACTACCATTTGCACAGGTTGTGAATCACAGATGCAAATAATTTCTGTGTCTTATTTACATACGTGCACGAACATCATTAGTTTTTGCTGTTTTCGAGTTTCATTTTTGCAGCTTCGCGAAACTGTCCAATTTTTCGATGACAATCTGGGAAGAGGCACTGAAGGAGTGCATATAATTTTCACTAATAGAAGATACATATCTATATTCTTGGGTTTTATGTTTTTTATACTCATCTTAATGTATTGCCGTGCAAGGGTCTGTTGGCTAATTTTACTTTTGAGGATTTTTCAATTTGTGTTCAGACGATTACAATTCCGGACATGAAGATGAGCTTATACTTCATCTAAGGAACTATTCTTAAATTTTTCTTTGCATTTGTTGGTTACTATTCTGTTCTTATTGTTGTTGTATTTTTTGGTCAGTGTTAACTTCGTTCATTCGTTAATTCGCTGGTTTGTAAGTAATATCATTTGAGGTTGGAAAGATTAAAGTTCTAAAGACATCGAGATTTTTTTAATTAGTAGAAAGTGAATTGTATAGAAGCACTTTGAAATTATGATTCTACTATTTTATGAAACTAGGAGTGAGATAAAATGCAAGAAGACATAATAGTGACTGATACAAATAGCAAGTCAGCAAGCATCTAATAAAAATTGGAGCAAAGAAATGACAGGATGCTTAATTCGTAACTATGTGCTTCATGTCTTTTATCTGACAAAATCACAAGTCAGGAGAGGCAGACATGTCGAGGTCCTTGTTGGTGCAGTTGTGCCATCTGAATACGAGTTCAAGATTCTGACTATAAAGGCCCTGCAGCGAAGAATTGCTAAGCGCGAAATTTGCAGTAATTTGAATTATCGAGGTGTGCGTGACTAGGAAATATGGATGCGTGAGATGGAATGAACTGCCAATAGCGAGTGTTTAGTGATTGGGTTTGGGTTTGAGAGGAATTATAAGTACATGTGGAGTGTGACTTTGGAATTTCCCTTCTTATTACTTATCGCTGTGGCTCTTAGAAATGTGCGTTGTCCTTTGTGCACAATCTTGGTCTTAAAATAAGTTCTATTTTTCACGTGTGGACTGGCCTCTCTTATACGTTGTTTTTCGTGGACTGAAATTATTTGAAATCGAAGTATGTACTACAAAGTGATTTGACTTATCAATACTCTTTTAAAAAAGTATTATTTGCAGAGAAGTCAATTAATTTCTGACTAACAGATTTCCAGGGCACACATGAGCAATCATTCACCGGATATCATTGTTAGCATATAAGATCTTTACCTATCATAAATTATTTTTCAAAAAAGTTGTGGCCATTTTTGCGATCTTTTTCTTTGAAGTATGAAGCCAAAAGTTGGAAATATGAAGTAGTTTGCTTCCAAATATCTTGATTTGAAATATTTAATTTTATATTTTTTTACGCTGTAAAACATCGTGTAGAATTTCGGATTTTTTGTTGCAGTCTATTGAATCAGATGACAATTCAACTACTCCATCTGTTGCACCACCAAAAAAGATCGTTAAGGCGGTGCACAAGGAGACGATAAGGATTGATAAAAAAAGCAGAACGAAGAAGGAATGTGAGTTTTAATGAAATGCCTTTTCGCCACGTAGTCAGTAGGTTAAGGATAGCTTGCTCTGAAAGATTAATAATTATTCCACTGTCATTAACTGCTATGATTGAATTGTTTTCTAACAAGTTTTTTCTTGTAGCAAAAGATCCAAAGGTATTGGAAGATCCAATGGATATATTCATAGATTTGGAGAAGGAAGAGAAGGAAAATAAAGGAAAACGGTTAAGTATAGAAAAAATATATCAGAAGAAATCACAGCTTGAGCATATTCTGATAAGGCCTGACACATACATTGGTTCGGTTGAATATACTGATAAAACTGTACGTTAGCTTAATTTTTTTGTTACTTGCTAAACAGTTTTATTTTGTCTAAAACCTTCGAATATGGGGATTTATCGACAATTAAATAAGTAATAGGTAAAAACTTATATTTTTAATACTTTCTCGGAAAAAATGTCCCGTGAATCATAAAGGTATTTTTATAGTTTTTTACGAGGGATTTTTCATTGAAATTAAGTTTTAGACTTCTGTCAATTTCGATTTCTTATTCTTTCATAAATTTTAAGCTTATGCTCAGTTCAAAATAGTTCAGCCAATGTGGGTGTATGATACGTATAATGATGAGATAGTTCAACGCGAAATCTCATATGTTCCTGGCTTGTATAAGATATTCGACGAAATATTGGTAAATGCTGCCGATAATAAACAACGAGACCCTAAAATGAATCTTATCAAAGTTAATATTGATAAGTTAGTTTTTATCATTTGATCTTCAACCATAATGAAAGTTCTACAACATTTACTGGAAAGTATCGTCATAAAAGAGTCATGGAAAAATTGTGCGAATCATATTTGGAACATTTACGGAGTATTGACTACCATTTACTGCTGCTCAAAAGCAGTTTTTCGGTCCAGATTTTCAAGAATATAAAATTTGATCAAAAAATTCTACGTTCTGCAAATGCTTTGTCAAACTTCTAATGCCAACGATATTTTTGTTCCTGTAATTTAAACTGTATGATTTATAAAAAAAACTGTTTTAGAGACAAAAGTGAAATAAGTATTTTTAATAACGGTAGAGGAATCCCAGTCGTGTTGCATAAAACTGAAAAACTTTTTGTTCCTGAATTAATTTTCGGTACTTTACTTACCTCATCGAATTATGATGATAGTGAGCGTAAAGTAACAGGTAGATTTTATTACCAATTTATTTGTCGTATTCATATTTTTCAGTTTATAATATGGATTTATTGTGTAGTAAAATGTCATTTTAATTTCATTCAAGTTTTATGAAGAGAGTTTAGTCAGATCGTTATGGTAATTCATTTATAAAAGTTGATAAAATTAACATGAGAAGTATATAAAGCAATAATAGATAAAGTTGATTAACTATCGTGGTGGATTTGAATGATTTCTTTGTGATTATATCTGTTTCTTAAATCATTTTGTCAGAAGTTAGTGGAAATCAAGTACTTATATTAATGAAAGAGTAATTTATAGGTGGTAGAAATGGTTACGGTGCTAAACTCTGCAATATCTTCAGCAAAGAATTTACATTAGAAACCTCAAGTAAAGAATATGGGAAAGCTTTTAAGCAGGTCTAGTAGTCTACACTTTTCTGTTCTCATATTTTCAGCAGCAAGTGCATTGTGATGCGAAATCCTAATTTTAGTTATTTACTGCTTTAGACTTGGGTAAACAATATGACAAAAAATGGAGAACCAACTATAACAAGCAGTGCTAAAGAAGATTTTACCCGCGTAACATTCAGGCCCGATTTAGAAAAGTTCAAGATGACAGAACTGGATGACGATATCGTGGGATTGATGTGTCGTAGGGCTTATGATATTGCTGGATCAACTCGTGGTGTTAAAGTTTTTCTAAACAACAGACAAATTCCTGTACGTGTTAACAAAACCTACTATAATGAATAAATGATGACAATTCTTATAATACAAAACTAATATTTCAATGTTTGAAATGAATGCAGATTTTTTGAATTTGGATTATAGTTTTTTTTTTCTACATCAGTACTGCCCCTTTGAAAGTTTAGGTGCAAGGCTTTAAACAGTATGTCGAGCAGTATGTCAACAAATACGTTGATAGCAATGGTGAAGCATACAAAATAGTTTATGAGCTTGTAAATTTACGTTGGGAGGTGGCGCTAACGATTTCAGATAGAGGTTTTCAACAAGTCTCATTTGCAAACAGTATTGCTACCACAAAGGTTTTTTTTTCATTCAGTTGAAAAATTTCTCAGTGCTCGAATTTCATTAAATTTAATCACATAAGTTCAAATACTCGATTTTTCGTAGACGTTTCAGGGAGATAGATATGGAAATTTTTAAATTGTCAACTTTACTTTGATTTCGAATTATGCTTTGGAATGACATTTAAGGAAAATTTTTCATGCATAATTTAGGGTGGTCGGCATGTGGACTATATCGTAGATCAAATAACCAGTCAGCTGATCGATGTGATCAAAAAGAAAATTGGCAAAAGTGGTGGCATCAATGTAAAGCCGTTTCAGGTCATAATCTATGTTTCCTCCTTTTGTTACCTGTTAGATTTAAAAAATTTCATTTGTTTGTATGTTGTGATTTGAAAAAAAAATTTCTATAATTTGTCAGGCCATCCAAAACGTAAGAATCAGATTACTGTACTGACAAACTTATTTCAGTAATAAAAATATTATTTCAGGTGAAGAACCATATGTGGATATTTGTTAATGCTTTGATTGAAAATCCGACATTTGATTCTCAAACAAAGGAAACTATGACATTACAGTCAAAAAGCTTTGGTTCAACTTGTGAACTTTCTGAGAAGTTCATTCAATCAGCATTAAAATGTGGAATTGTGGAATCTATCATGGCTTGGGTACGATTCAAACAACAAGAAACACTGGATAAAAAATGTTCATCAAAAAAGACAAGCAAACTGAAGGTAGCAAACTCAAAAAAGAAGCTCTTAGATTTACAAAATATTGTTGTGGAATTCCAGATTTGTCAGGATTACTGGCTTGTCAAATTTGTCAAAAGTTTATCACAGTCTGGTAATAACCATATTAAATCCCAGAGTCTTCCTTAATAAACCGACAAATTCTTTTTATTTATTTTCATACTTTTTAGGGTCAGGAGAAGTGAATATTAGAAACATTTTATTTAGGGTGTGCCTAAACTAGAAGATGCAAATGATGCTGGAACAAAGAATTCACTGCACTGCACACTTATACTTACAGAAGGAGATTCGGCTAAGTCATTAGCTGTTTCAGGTCTTGGTGTTGTTGGGCGAGATAAATATGGTGTGTTTCCTCTTCGTGGTAAAATGCTTAATGTTCGTGAAGGGAATCACAAACAGGTATCTTTATCGCAAACCCGTAAAATATGTAATGTTTATTTCTTATTTTTTGAACAACATAATGTTCATTTACTTTAAAAAGTATGTTTTTTCACAGATTATGGAGAATGCTGAGGTGAACGCTCTTCTTAAAATTGTCGGATTGCAGTATCGTTTGAAATATGACAAAGATGATGATATCAAATCTCTAAGATATGGCAAAGTTATGGTTATGGCAGATCAGGTTTGCTGTCTATTATTAAATTTTTTATTTTTTCTAATTTTCTTTGAAAAAGGTAAGAAACATTCAGTGCCGTATAATTCAGTGCCGTAATAATCAAATTTTTTTAGTTTTCACACATTGTGAAGATGAAAAAATTTCTAAGATTTTCAGATATGTAGTTTCATAGTTCCATTTATCATTTTTAACTATTCTTTACCAGCTGTTAACTTTTGAAAATGCAGAACTTAAGACACATCAACGTGATTATGAGGTGAATATTTCAGTTATAGGTTTCAAACTTTCAATTTTTTCATATTAGTTTTTTTCAGGATCAAGATGGCTCTCATATCAAAGGATTAGTAATAAATTTTATACATTATAACTGGCCAGCATTGATTAGACGAAACTTTGTTGAAGAATTTATAACTCCAATTGTGAAGGTTAGAAGTTATTCAACATTTTCAGGTCACGAATGAATTTATTTTTCTGTTATATTTATGTGATGCTGTTTTAAGGCAACAAAAGGTAAAGAAGAGTTTTCATTTTTCTCACTGCCAGAATACAGAGAATGGCGTAACAGAACGGATAACTGGAAAAGTTATCGGATAAAGTACTACAAAGGTATATTTGTTAAAATTAACTAAAAATTTGAAGATCTAAAATTTTTTTTAAATCTGTGAAGTTTGTCAATTGTTTGGTAAACAAGATTTGTTGATTTTTGTTTCTTTTTCTTTCAAATCAGTGTATATAGGTCTGGGTACCTCAACATCAAAAGAGGCAAAAGAATATTTTACCGACATGCAAAGACATCGGGTAAAATTCAAATATGACGGTGAAGATGACGATCAAGCTCTAGAGATGGCTTTCAGTAAAAAAAAAATCGAAGAGCGCAAAGTATGGCTCACGAATTGGATGGCTGTATGCTTTTACCCTTACCTACTCTACCATTAATGCAACATTGCCTAAATCTCTTGCATTTACATCACATAGAAAGTCGTCCTGTATTTGGTATTTTCTCGCTTTTACAACGTCTAAAATCTGTGTTGAATAAACAAAAGTATGTGCTCATGGCCTTTTTATATGTGTTTGTTGTTTAGGAACAAAGAAGTCGTCGAGAAGGTGGTCTATCAGAGGAATATTTATATAACAAAGATACTCATGCTGTTTCGTTCAAAGACTTTGTTAATAAAGAACTTGTCTTATTTTCTAATTGTGACAACGAAAGATCGATTCCAAGTTTAGTAGATGGCTTGAAACCTGGGCAACGGAAGGTCATAATTGCTTCTTATGTTTACTAATAAAAATGAGAAATTGAATTTTCAGCTATTAATATTTAAATGTTTTAGTTGTAAATACAATAATTTCATTCATGTAAAGAACTATCCAATATCTGAAACTAGTTATTATACAGAGATGGTTGTACGAAGTTGTATGTGCTCACTGTATTTTGTGTATGATTAAAAACAAAAATTTGGATTTTTCTTTCACATGCCTCACTAATTGTTTTTTAGGTTTTATTCACATGCTTTAAACGTGCTGACAAAAAAGAAGTAAAAGTTGCACAGTTAGCAGGAGCTGTTGGTGAAATGTCAGCTTATCATCATGGCGAGGTAACTTTTCGCACTTAATGTATTGTTTCTAGTTTATAAACTTTGGAATATTAACCATTCCACTACAGAATTAGTTTATAATGTTTTAAGATTATGTCACCTATAAAATATAACAAGAGTTTGTCATTTTTTCCAAAGTTATTGTTTATAGATGTATAATTATGAAAAAAAGGAATAAGATCTTATGTAAACACTTTCAAAATCTTGGGATTGTTAATATTATATGGGGTTTAACCATTAATCCATGATTCATTTGAAGCATAGAGCATTTAAGAAGCAGCTATTTGGTTTAAATTTAAAATATAAAAACTTTTTTGGGCACTTTAACAGTGCTATCTTCTATTATTCCATAGTATACTTTTTGATTCCTTCCAAAAGTATCGCCTTTTTTTAGTGCATGATAGGTGTAAAGAATATGGGCAGAAATCAGATTTTGTTATCTTAAGGATCAAGATAAAGTCTCTCGTCCAAAATTGCTTAATATATTCTACATATATCTTGTATAAAACAAGAGGTTAATCTTCTTTGCTGTATTATTGATTCTGGCACTGGGTTGTATTCTGACATTCTTGCTGTAATTACCCGGTGCTCAGTTCTGCTAGTTCCGGTGCACTGGTTGTCTCATATCCTTCACAGAGCTTTTTTTAACAACCGCTATTTTCCGTTTTTCATTTGTTTTTTCAATTATTCTGGTATCTCAACTGAAATAATAATTAATTAATTAACGCTCTTTTTTTGTTTATCTTCCATTTCCTGCTTTGTGATACAATTCAACCACTCAGCAATTCGGTTGAGCATATCGTATATATATTTTTTGCCCGAGAAGTGTTCAATTAGAATTCGTTTCCTTACAGGCATCCTTGATGTCCACAATCGTGAATCTGGCACAAGACTTCGTGGGTTCAAATAATATCAATCTTTTATTACCTATTGGACAGTTTGGTACTCGTTTGCAAGGTGGCAAAGATAGCGCTAGTCCGCGTTATATTTTTACACAATTGAAGTAGTATTTGATTCTCAAGTGCATATTTTTTTGTTCAAGGGAACTCGTAATTTTCACATGATAATATTAATTTGATTTTGGATATTGTCGCTCTCGAAATGTAAAAATATGTGATATAAATTTATTCATTTTAGCCCCGTCACAAAAGCATTATTCCCTTCTATTGATGATAATGTTCTTCGCTTCTTATTTGAAGAGAATCAAAAGATTGAACCAGAATGGTTTGTGATTTTGTCAAACCCAATTTTCTTTTAACATTTAACGATGATCATCCTTCAATTCTTTGCTACTAATTCTTTGTTGCTTCAATTCTTTGGTATTTGTGCTTGTAGGTATTGTCCTATCATTCCAACTGTGTTGGTCAATGGCACAGAAGGTATTGGTACAGCTTGGTCTACAAAAGTTCCTTGCTATAATCCACGGGAAATAGTTGAGAATATGTATCGTATGATCGAAGCAAAAGAGCCGAAACCTCTGGTACAATAAACTTTTAAGTTATAATTAAGTTTTAAATTATAAAATAATCATCATTACTATAATTTAAGTGGCAGAATCATATTTGAAAGTCTTCAAGCATTCGGTCTGAGTACTTCGTAGTAGTTACCAAAATTTATTCAGCATAATTTTTAACTACTATTTTATAAGATGAAGTTAAATCGGATTCATCGAGTAATATTATAATTTTATTAGATTCCATGGTATAAACATTTTCGTGGTACGATCGAGCAACTGGATGACCAAAGGTTCATTTGTAATGGTGAAGTTGCAATAATTGACAATGAAACTATTGAAATAACTGAGTTACCGATTCGTACTTGGACACAAACATACAAAGAAATGGTACTGGTACCTATGATGGATGCAAATGATAAGCAGCCTGCAGTAATCACGTAATTCTTAATTACAATCAGTAAAATTGTGACATTTAGTGAATTGATTTTCCATATCACTTGAGCATGATTTTAGAGTTAATGTAGAAATTTTTTGGTTTCTTTGCTGCTACAACTTATTTTTGAGCCACATATTCATGATTGTAGATAAATAGAGATTGAGCAACTTTTTGTTCGAAATTTGGAAAACTCGTGTTTTACTTTAGTATTGGTTTGCATTTTTAGCTTTTTATTTTGTTTTTTAACTTATTGCTGTATGTTTTTGATCCAAAGCATATTAGTCATTGGTAAAAATAAATAAGTTCTTCCAAAATATTTTTTAAAAATGCCAAACTAAAGACTATTTTTAATTAAGCGAAAGATGTAAGAAAGCGTATTAGCTAAATCTTTACAGTTATCGTGAAATATTATGTTATTGATATATTAGAGATTTCAAAGAATATCACACGGATACCACAGTGAAGTTTGTTATTAAAATGAATGCTGATAAATTGCAAAGAGCCAAAGAAGAAGGTCTTCACAAAATTTTCAAGTTACAGTCAGTGATAAACACTACATCAATGGTTTGTGTTTCTAGCAAAATGAAGTAGTTAAATAATGAGAAAAATTTTCGCATTAATGGAAAGGGAATATTCATAAATTAGCAAATGTCACTGATAACTTTTTAAATTTTTTCGATAATCTGATAAGACGTGCTAAAATATTTGTTTTTACAAAATATCTTTAAAATAAGAACTTTAGTGTTACTTGCAGGTACTTTTCGATCCCTATGGATATTTAAGGAGATTTGAAAATGTCACTGATATTTGTAACGAATTTTTCGATATTCGTAAAAAAAAATACATTGAGCGGAAAAGTTTTCAGGAAGGTTTACTGAGAGCGCAAAGTGAACGTCTTTCGAATCAGGTTATTTTTTATTGTTTGAAATATTTATACTGAGACTAACTGCATGCGAAATTCTAACCTCAAGAATTGACAAAATTTTTATCTAGAATTTGGCGTGCAGTTGAACTTAAATCATATCCAGTTCTGTGATGTATGGTTTAAGTTCTTCGGGGGATTTCTTCTATTATCAAATCATATTCCATTAAATATTATGCTTAGCATTAGAATTTAGGCAAGGTTTATTCTGGCAAAAATAGAAGGAAAACTATTGATTGAAAATAAACGAAAAGCAGCAATAATTGAGCAGTTGATCAAAATGGATTTCAAGCCTGACCCAGTAAAGAAATGGAAAGAGGAAAGAAAAAAGCAAGAGTTAGTCATGTTGGGAGAAGTAGCAGAAGATGAAGAAGATGAGGACCATGATGAAATCGATGAGGTATATATTTAATTTCATCTTTTACTCTTAAAGTTTTGATTCTAGCTTTCATTTTTATATGAAGTCTACAGTTTTGTTTTTGTAGGAAACGAAGGAACAAGGTAAAGAGCTAACTATTAGATTGAATGATTATGATTATCTTGTTGGTATGGCTATTTTGAAACTTTCTGAAGAAGAAAAGAATAAATTACTCAAGGAAAGTGAAACAAAACTTAATGAATTAAAAGTAGGTGCATTTTTATCGTATTGTATGTTTGATATAGAAATGTTATTATTGTATTATGGCACATTTAATATGCTGCAGTCTATTCATAAGTTGGGATAATTACGTTCATTATCTTGCATAGTAAAAATTATGTGTTGCAATCTATTTAGTTTTGTAGATGATTATTAGAACAAAGAAAAGAAAAATCTATTTTATTTCTCTTGAAAGAATTTCAACTGCAAATTTCTTTATTTCAACTAATATGAGTTGTATTTTTCAGCGAGATTTTGTATAGGGATAAATTTTTAAATTTCAGACACTGGAAAAAATGACTTGGGCAGATTTATGGAAGAAAGATTTGGAGTGCTTTCTTGCTGAGTTAGAGAAGCAGGTATTTTTTAACATGTTAGTTTTGTTACCGTGCTGTAAAATTACTTTGAATGAATTTTATTTTAGTAATTTCATACTTTCTCTAATTCACTAATCACTATTGATTAAATTTTATATGTAAAATAGTAACTTTTTCTTTTTAAGGAAGCAAAAGAGCAAGCTGATCTTGAAGTACAGATCAATTATGCTACGAAAAATCTGCATAAAAACGTTCTTGCTCGTAAGAAATCCTTTACTGGTTTAGTGAAGGTATTATATTTTATGCTAAATTCTATAATATCATTTTGAAAAGGAGATACGATTTAAGATTTGTGGGAATAAAAAATTTTTTAAATCTGTGACATGCTTTCATATTTTGTTTTTCTATGTAAATTAACGTGTCTAAATTTAATTTTTCGCATTAAAAAATTTTTCTGGTAAAATATGTAGTTTTATTATGATTTATTCACTTTATAGGAAGTACTTCCGAATCCAACAGCTGAGAGAGTAATTCCAAAAACTGATGCCGTGAAGGAAAAGTATGAGCAGAAAAAAGCTGGTGGGGGTCGTACTAAAGGACGCAAACTATGTGAAATTAAAGAGAAGAAAGAAGGAGCTGATGTGCGCAAGTTTTTCAATCGAGAAAATGTAATCAATAAAGGTAACAAAAGACTAGGTTATTACAATTGCGTTTTCTGTTTTACTGTAAAAAATGTAATTGAAATTTGTATTTTTTGTTGTTAAATTTCATAAATTCTAAATGATTTCTTGCAGAAGACAGCAATTCTTTGGATGAGGTGAAATTTACTGAAGAAAGGTCAGTGTATGAAATTAGTGATGATGATAATGTTGTCGCCCCAACTATCATTAAAAAAACTATTACGGATAAGAGCGATGTTAGTTGTTATATTTAGGAAATGACAAAACAAAAATTTCGTTTTCAAATCATGAAGTGCTTTAAATCATATGAACTCATACTTTTGTTTGTCAGAAAGACTTCAATTTTCATGTTTAGGTTAAAAAGAATGTTGGGGTCAAACTGAATGCTATTCCAAAAGTTAAGAGTAGTGCTACAAGGACAGGAAGGGCAAAAGGTGGGAGCAAAGTGGAAAAATGTCAAAAGTCGTCATCGCTACGAATGGAGGATTTCTTTAAAATTGCGCGTCTTAGTTTTTATCAATTACAGAGTGATTAAGAAATATGCATGCTTTGATTGCTGAAAAAGTTTCAATCAAAATTTTTCTTGAACAAAGCTCTATTTGTTCTGAGCTTTGAAAACAATCAAGAAAGGTTAAAAGAATATTTGTTGTTTCTGAATTAATTATTTAACGCTAGAAGTTGAAGTCTTGAAGAAGATTGGGCATTTATGACATGTGAGTAAGTTTGACTTGCAGTTGGAGTGAGCCAAACTGTTATTTGATGTTTGCATTTTAGAATCTTTTTAGATCGAAATTGGAATTAGTTGCTTTATAGACAATTTCTTTCAGGAAGCTGTTAATCAGAAGCCACAGCGGAAGGATGTAAGTATTATGTTAAGTGAATCAGATTCGGAACTCGATGTGGCTGGGCCATCAAAAAGAAAACAGCTATCAGTGCGTCAGAGAAATGCAGTGAACTATTACATTGATGAAGTAGATGAGTCCGAGAAAACGGCTGATGATTCTTCAATCACTGCCCCAAAAAAGAAACGCAAGAAAATGATTGAAAGTGATAGTGATGAGGAATACAGCATCGAGTCTAGTAGTTTTTAAGAATTGATGTCATCCACTAAAATCATCCGTATTTCGTGCTTTAGTTCTGAACTGACAAGTCATTATGTTTCGACAAAATATTGTGCTGCTGGAAAGTTTTGCTTTTCAATGATCATTTTATCCGCTGTTTAACCTTTATTTCTTTCAAATATAGTTCTTGTTGTATTGTGGTGATGATTCTATAACCGGATAAACTGTAAACCTAGAAATCGAATTTGGGTGTTAAATTTTCAGCCATTTATCAATCATAAATCTCAGATTCTCCAAAATTCAGCATCTATTCTATTCATTCGTATTTATTTATGTTTTAGAAGGTAATCATTTACTATTTTACTAAGAACTAACACTACGGTCACTGCAACTATCTCCAAAAAAATGCACTATTCTTCATTGGATTTTGGATTTTTATTGTTCATGTTACACAGATGAAAGTACTGTTATGCGTAAGCTCATCGTACAGTATCTGCAATGAATATAGCTTACATACTTGCAACATATATTTTATATTATGCGTGACATTTCTTAATGTAATGTTGCTCCATGAGTATGTAGCTGATGAAACAAAGAAATCAGTATTATCGTGTGTCTTAGGCACTAAATATTTCTTAATGGACTTGCATGCACGAAATGTATGACAAAGCCAGAATAGTAATAGGTAATATATGCGGAATTTTTGGAAAAATTAAATCACAAACGATACCCATCGATAACTCACGTTCTTCTAACTTTTCCAATCACGTGTGCAAATTTTATTTAATTTATTATCAAAAATTGTTTTTGGTGCGAAGGTACGTTAGACGTTAGAAATATTTTTGTTCTGCATTTCTGTTCCCTTCAATTTTAAAGTTTTTATAGATTATCCTGCGCACAATCATCTTCGAGCAATTCCTCGAAGAAGGGTATTTGATCCATTGAACGCTGTACAATAAATCCAGTCAAGTACATACACCTTTTTTCTCGGCTTTGGCGGGGTGCTGAGTGCTTGACTTTGAGGTTGACTCTTAAGCGGTTGTGTTCAAGAAACATGGAGAATTAAACGAAAAAATCTGCATCTGGAATCATAAATGAAAACAATAAAGAAACATATGTGCAGGATGTGAGAGAACATTCCGGCGTGCCGGAACCCGGTACTAGCAGAATTATCACACTTAACGCACTCATCCGCCGAATCCAAATTTCGCAGAGTAGGTGGCCGGGAAAAGTGTAGAATCGGTCTTTGACGGATTTGGAAGAACGCCGAGAGGCCATTGTGTTGTTCCCTGTATTGCGAGAAGTTTGTGTGCACGATTAGCCTTGAAGAATATAGAAACTAGCGAATGCTGCAAATCACCAGTATTGCACGACGTCATTGCTCGCAGAAACGGTTTTTGGAGGATTCAACGAAATGTGTCAAGGCACAAAGTACGTTATATGAGTTTATTTAGATATAAAGGAAAAATACTTGGTGCTGATGCAAGAAGCACAGGGACGTCAGGTAGATCAGACACGTATACTGCGGGTTATGACTGGTAAAAGTGTTTGGCTAATAATTTGCATATTCTTTTAAGATTTAATCTTCTTTTTTGTTCAGTGCCATTAAAACACGTACAATTCTATCCCGTGAAGAAAATGTGTAACTTAACTTTTGCTCAGCACAGACAAAATGGTTTTGCTTTGCTTCTTTACATTACTTTACTGCTATTTTCGGTTATGGCGACCATGAAAAAATCTAGTAGAACGACAGATTGCTCTAAGTAACGACAGATTGTTATAACATATTTTTCCGGCTTTTTTAATTTTGAAAAAAGCCACAAAAGTGTGTTAGAACAGTTCACTTTGTTCTGGAGTGCCTTACCACTCGGTCGTGGTTTTACGTGATGAGAAAAACCAAACCTGGAAATTCGCATTCCCATGTTGAATTGTCAAACTACCTGGGACCTACCAAACACTCCGCGTCTTACATGCATTCAAGAAATATGTCAATAAACGTAGTTCAAATTATTCCTCAGCTCAAATTCTAGAATTGTTAAGACAAAAAAATTAAAATTTAAAGAGCTATCGAAGTATAAAGAAAGAAGCCCTAATCTAATCATTACAAAAGTATACTTGATAATTTGGCAGCACCACAGACTAAGCGTTCAGAAGAGGATTAATCGATGTTCAACGCACGAGACAAAAGATTTAATAGTCCGTTAAGTAAATCTATTTTTCTTCCATAAACCTGAGTTCAGAAATTCTCTGGTTTCTTTTATGTAGCAGTATAAACAAGACAAATCAGCAATTGGTCTATTTTTTCATTTGACAACAAGGAAAAAAACGACAAGTATTATACAAACAGAGGTTTTGTGCATATACAGGTTTCGAAGCTCAGAATCGACCAGGAACACTGCATCATTTGTTCCACAAATTATATCAAGTAATGATATAGATATTATTATTGATGTTATCAATGCTACTAACAATGTAAAGGATGTTCAGATCCAAGATGACCAGAATGATTGCATTAATCTTAAAAATCTATTTGCAGGTTTTTATGGTAGACCAAAACAATTCTACAAAAGCTCAATTAAGACCAAACTCAGATGTTTCCTACAGTTTCAGCTCCATCTTTGTAAACGTCAAGATTATTCTCAAATCAAATTAGCAATGGTTATTACGTGAATATAGAAAAAAGAGATTGCGGAAACAAAAAGAAAAACACTATTAAAACTATCAAAATTATTCAAAAACTAATGAGAACCAGTAAAACCGACAACAAGCAATTAAAGACTGTTTCAAATTACACAAGATCACGGATAATTTATAATAACATTATCTTTAATCTTAAAGTGATTTCGAGTACTTACTTGCAGCTATGTAAGGAAGTTTAAATGACTAGTGGACGGCAAAAAATTATACTAAATTGTTATCTGTAGCATACAACAGTATTATATGGAGACGAATGTTATAAACAATAGAAGATAAAAGTAAGTGATAAAACTTACTGTGCGATGAAATTTGGAGGGACAAGATAAAGTTTCGAGATTTTCAAAATAAACTCAATATCTTCATAAGAAGACAGTCTAATAATCTCAACAGTGAGTGATCGCCTTGTTATTGTTTGACGAAATCTGAAGCTCATTAGATGAGCTTAGAGAATCGCAGCTTTCTTCCGAAGCATGGCTGTCCACAATGATCTAAAAAATAATTATCATCGAGAAAAAATTATAACTATGTAAAAAAAAGAGAAAAAAAACCAATGGCACAACAAAACGACTATGACTATGATTACTGTGTCAGAATAATAGTAATTAACAATAAAAAACTATAATAGCAGTCTTTGAAAAAACTTTTACCATTGGAGAGTTGGTGTTTCTACCATTATTTGTAATCTGTTTTTGAGCAGCAACGCATCGTTTCAATTCTTCGTTTTCTTTCATTAGCCGTCGAATTTCACGTTTTTGTTGCTCTATTATCTCCTTAACTTTATACAAATTGAATGAATCCATTACTTTCTGCTTTCAATTTTAACTAATTACAAACGATGAATTGTTAATTAAAATATCTTAACAGACATTCAGCACGAGACTTCCTATTGAAAACATACTTATATTAGCAAAGTAATAATGCTAGACCTGTTGACTGAAGGCGAATTTTCCATTTCTTGACCAGTCTTTCTTATTACTGAAATAAAAATGAATACAATTAAAAAAATACTTCAGCAAAAATTAAACAGTTTACGTTTACTGAAGAGATGACAGATTGCAGAGGCTTCAGTAAAATATCACTAAGCTAGTTCTTGTGATATTCACTACTTCGTTCGATGTATTCATTCAACAGATTGACTGCATATACAATTTTATCGGACGTTCAGAAATGTACGGAAAAATTGTTTATGCTCTAACTTTATAATAAACTTATAAACAGTGTATGAATTTTACTTAATAAAACAACTTCAAAGTAACCTCAATTTATTGTCCTAATAAATGAAATCAAGGATTCAAAGCTTACTTCGGTTGCTGCTCAGAAGTAAAGCACCACTTTATACTACATTCCTTTATAATATTATCATCTTCATCTGAACACCTGGTTGACGCAGAATGGGGCACACTTCCGTCATTACTTATATCAACAAATGATTTCAAAACTGATATACCACCCGTTGCAGTTGTCATCGAATTACGTGAAGAGCAGTGTGGATTGGTCCTGGAAGAAGGAAAAAGTAACATAAGTTTAATTTCAAGAAATGGAAAAGAAAGCAGCTTGAAAATGAATATGGTAAAGGAAAAATATAAAGAATACCAATAAGTACAATTAAAAAGTAAATAATTTCGAACTCTTCACTGTTAAGACAATGAGAAGAAAGAATTCGGTTTTCAAAATCATCTTATTTTGAAGACTTTGACTATGAAGATTAAAATAACTTTTGTGTGAAAAAGCAATACAGACTTAATTCCGAAACTTCTGAACCAGAAAACAAACATCTAAATCAATTATACAAGTAACGGAAAATATTCAGTAACAATCACTACTACATTATATATCTTCTGACAATTCCATCAGTCAGATGAAAGCTACAATAAACTTTAAACTGTTTCAATGTGAGTCTAAGTTCATTTTAATCAGCACTGCCCAATTTTCTTAACTGAATAAAAAGACAACGGATGGCAATAATAACAGTAACGATAATAATTTGAAAAACGCTGATCACCTTGGTAATGAACACATGGGTATTTCATAAAGTCCACCATTTGTCTTATCCAAAGGGGGTGATTTCAAGAAGGACCCATACAAGTGCTCCTTCAACATAGTAGAGGGAGCAGAACGCACGTAATATCGCTCGTTATGATTCAACGGAATCTTCTCGAAGTTTCCGGAAGACGATGATGTTGAAGGGATGCATTCGTGAGCGTTGAAAGTCGGATTAGAGGTTTGTAAGGCTGCATGGAAAACGGGATGATTTATCTGAGTGGCGGTACGTTCCACAGGACTGCTGCTATTTGAGGAACTCAAACTACAAAAGTGTCAACTACAACAATTTTGCGATAAAAAAATAAAATCAATCAAATATTCAAGAAAAAGGAAAAAAACTACAATATATATGCATTTCTCGTTTCAAATGTTGTAAATTTAAAACAGTTTATGTAAATTACGAACGTACCTACTACTATGATTTTGACTCTGATAACCACTAGATGAGGGTGCAACAATTGGGTCTTGACAAGATGTTATAACTTGCTGACGATCTGTAGATGACGCTGTACGTCGTTTGCTCTTACGAGGTGGTCGTGTATGACGCAGACGTGTTGCTGACGTTATTCGTGTTGTCTCATCAGAATCAGTATCTTCATTATGGTGATCAATCCTGGCAGTGGTGCAATTACTATAGGATGAAATATTGGATGGTATCGAAGTATCGTACTGAGAAATACTGTCATTATCACCATTTGGAGCTGTATCAAATGCTATGATCCTCTCTTGATTTGATGGAATAGCTGCCAAAGCAGTATAAGCATTCCTGAAAGTCATTAAAATTAACTTTAAAAGTTACTTCTCTTTACGCGTATTTTCAAAACACAACCAAAGTTGCCACACAGTAAATTAGTGTGCTACGAAAAACATCATAAGTAATGTCCAAAATGCAACAAACTTTTGAACTACGACAACAGAAAATGTGACCTTTTATTCTGTCTTTCACAGGATGTACTGTCATTAAAATATCGCTGATTACGATAATGTCCATTACGATGCTTCTGGACAGTTAAACCAGCCTGTCGCACTGCTAAACTGTCTTTCAGTAGAGCAATATCTAATACGTAGTCATCACTGGTATTTAGATGAGTTGCTGCAGTGGCTTTTTTCATCACATGAGATTCGCTAACTGTATTTCGAATATGAGGGGGGAATTTCGTAGTATTATTGTACGAATTCAACCTGGAATGAAATGCTTGAGTTTTCAACACTATATTACAATAATAATAGTGGTAATATATGAATCTTTAGAATGTATTCAGTAAATTTATGTAGGATGTACAGATCTCACAGAAGCTTATTATTTAATAAGTAATTAGAATTCACAAAGTAAAAAAAACGCTGCCTCAGAATATTTGTATTATCATAATCTGATGGGGCACTTTCAAATGTTAACGACTCGCTATCACCATAAACATCATTCTTCATCTGGATGTGACGTAGCTTTGTCAAAATTAAGCGCAGTTCTGCTGTTTGAGGATCGTACTTACAAGCTTGTTCATAAATCTGCAGAAGTTAAATAATATAAATTAGCACTATGGAAATCGACATCTAAAATAAAATTAATTTAAAAACATATACTATTCTGACAAATCAATGCCTAACACAAACTAAATATAAACCTCTTGGGTCCAGAGCTCATCCAAATACGAATATAACAATGACACTTCTTTGCCAATATCAACCGATATATTCCATCCATTTTCTCCAGAGTTTACGTCTGAATTTATTGGCATACTTGAAATTTTCATCAAAAACTTGTGCATATTATCCCATTCACGTTCTACAAAATCATTCATGAAATCCATGTAATGCTCTTTTCCGCCAAATTTCGTAAAATTTGCTAATGTTTGGAGTGTTTTGGCTATTAAAGTTAGATTACGTGCAGCGTTCCCGGATGGATATTCCGAAACCTGAAAGTGAATATACGTGTGATATTAATTAAATTGCATTAGAAATATAAAAATGAAATATGCAACACTTGTCATAAATTGACTAATGCTATTAAAAATTAAACCAAAGTCATTAGTCAAAGTCAAAAATTTAGTCGTAATATTTAAAAAGCCAAGGCAAACCAAAACTTACCAAATTAAACAAACTTGGACTGAGTATAGCTGGACACAGGAAACGAAGGAAAATACTAGAAGAAATCAATGTGTCAGCTAAATCAAGTCGACCAATTTCTTCCAAACGTCTTCTCAAGCTATTGAAAATCTCGCGCAATTCAAATGGAAATACGTCCATACTGCAAAAAAATAATTCCACAAAAAATCATTGCATACACATAGCTCAAAATATTAATTCTATTGATAAAAACGTTTTTTCTCCAAGTCCATTAATAAAATTCATATAAGACTGAGTATTTGATAAGATGATAAACATAACACATGAAAATTTCTAGCCTATTCGTTATCTTCGCCCAAGCAGCTTCCACATTTATTACTAATTGGTGGCGATTCCTTTCCAACGCTATTGGATTGATATTTGGCAGCTTCAACGGATCTACTTCACAATCTTTCTCCGATTGCTGCATTGCTTTCACGAAGTCTCCAAGAGTGCTCTGCAAATATTTTTAAATTTATTATCTGCAACCAAATACTACACTCCTAGAATATTCATTATGTTTATTTCTGTAATTACTTTTATTATGCAATGTTTATTTTATAAACAATTTACACACTTGACATACATTGCGCATGCAATATTGTACATCTTAGCACATTAATGTACATAATTAGAAAGTTAGCATGCTGTAGAAAATAGTTAAGAAAATTAATGCCAATCCTCATGGAATTTTTTTTACATAATTAACTTATACATTAGCACATTACATGTATCACAGGAAAGAAATGGTAGTACTTGAAGATAGTCATCTGCAACCAATTTCATATAAGCTTCCATTGCTTTGGTTGCCAAAGAATTGCCTCGAAACATGAGATGTTCATTGTCTACAAAATGTACAAGATTACAAACCTGTAGCATATATATACAAGTATTAAAGTATTATTGTGCACAGACATATATTAGTCATGCAGTAGCGAAACCTTGTTCATGATTTCTGTTTTTAAAGATTGTCACCAAAAATAATTCATTCTTGATTTCAAGAATTATGACCAAACGCCTATACATTTTGAAACGAAGAAGGCAAAGAAACAAATTTTATACAAATTATCGCATAATAATGTTAATGGAATAAAAAGTTTCTACTAATCAAATTCAGTCATTAAGTTTGAGAAATGAAGCAACTACAAAGCTCATCAATGCATACACTATTGACTGAAAGAATTTGGCTCCTACACTAAGTAATATCAAATGAGCTTTCATATCAATAGTTTAAATATCTGTGTTTTTGTGCTAAATGAAAACTATGGTATTGTATTCCGAAAAGTAAATTCTACTAACATTATTCAAAAGCAACCTACCATAAAGAATGCAAAATTAGTTTATTACTAAATGTATATGGAAATTACGCACCAAGAACATCAACTTCGGACATAATTAAATCGCATAGAAAGTGTTTGGCCATGCGTAACTTGTGCATAATACGTACAAGAGCTGTTGCCAAATCTTCTTTAGCTTTCACACTTAAAGTCGGTTCTAAAGCGCAACAAAGAGATAAGTAATGCTTCCTGAAATTGGTGAAACATTCAATGAAAAGAGTGTACTTTTAAAAATATTGTAATTTTTTTCCAAATCTATAAATAGAGTATATATATGCAAGGGATTCGCAAATTGGACCTTACAAAAATTGCTAAATAATTGTATTCGCTTGTTTCTTAATACAAAATATGCACTGTAATTCCACTTTTTCTCTACATTAGTTCCAACAAATAATTTCTTAGTTAACTAATTCTTGCGTAAACTTGTTTTACGTAGGAAAAAGTAGCACTTGACACTGTTAAAAACTGACTTGATAAAAGCTAACAGATCAGAGTAAGCTTGCATAGGTAATATTTGCACTGATTGGTACCGAGCTTTAATTCGTATCGCGGCTACTTCACCGCTACTTTTGTCTTTTACTGCACTTGATAATTTGGCACCATCTGAAGTCGCTGTAACGGTGTACCTATAAAACACCGTAATCTGTTTCTACTATTTTAAACTAAATTCAAATAGGGATGTATTTTGAAATTCATTTAGAAATTTGTAACTCAAATACTCTCTGTTCTGAAAACAATTTATTTCCAATAATTTGTGAAAATTAACAAGTAGCAAATGAAAGACTATTTATTGTAAACAGGAGTGATAAAGTTTCGTGACCAAGACTGATAATTACCTGACCTTTTGAATTCAGCAAAGAAAAGTTACTGCAATGAAAATATTGGAAAATACATCACACAAAAAACTGGCAATGCTGACCGGTAATAAGTGCCAAAAATGCTTTGAAATTTGAAGTAATTTCTATCAAATCTAAGTAAACAGAAAGGTCGAGACCACCAAGACGATGACTGCATGCAGTTCTTCGACATCGTTACAATTAGAAATGAAACTATCAAAAATTTCCTCCTTCACAATTAAGCGTTGGGTACTAAAATGGAAAACAGTGTATGATTCCTAGTCATGTAAACTTAACGTATATTTCTTGATGCATAAACTTTTTATTTCTATTGACAATTCAGTTGCATTAAGATTTTACACCTCGTATTTTTGAGAAGTTTAAAACACTTTCGAATTGCTGCATTTTTTTGAAAACAAAATCAAAACACAAATGCTCTTCTTTATCTGCTCAGAATCAATCATTGTTTACATTTCAGGGGAAAATCATTCAAGCACATTCAAAATTAACTTCTGATAAACAGCTGTGTTAATAATTTGAAAAAACATTACTACTGTGAGCAGTGCACAAACATTCAATTTAAAAAGTGCAAGTAGAAAATTTTAAAATATAAAAAATCAAACTGAATGTCAGTTTTGACTTAAATGGTTACTACGGTCTATTTCTTGCAAAATACGAGAATTATCAAATCAATATCAGATTGACTTTTTAGTGATTATTTGAATAATTATTTGGGATATTATATGGATCACTAAACAGCATATATAATGAGAAGAAATGATCTATTTAAATTTTACCCAAATAATAATGCAAATTGGAGCTGATCGCGTCCTGTCACGTTTGGTTTTTGCATGACTTTCAAGGTTATTCTTATTTGTAACGTAATTACGATTACAATAATTTGTGGAGCAATTACGAATTGGTGGATTGATTGTGAGTAAGTCAGTTATTGGAGCAAAAACGGAGGCAGGTATAAAATAAAATTGCATAGCGAAAAACATTTAGTAGATAGCACACGAAGATCAATAGATTAAGGAAAAAGCCGATATGGCAATGGTTTCAAGGGTGAATGATTAAATGATACGAAAGTAAAGTAAAATCCTTTCTCTTCCTAGGTGATTACATAAGATAAATTTCTAGAATTTGTAGGACACATTCATAGGATAGTTGTAGAGAATTCACGTTTGAGCTCCAAACTAATTACCAAATCAACTTTGAACCAAACCTTTTTGTCATTAAGGATAATAATTACATAATCTCTAATTCCTCATTCGACTGCTTTAAGAAGTGAAGTGGTGTACGCAATGTCAAATTTTAATCCCAAAAAATCCAGTACAATCAATGAGCACCTTTGAAATTTAAAGTTAGAAAAAAAAAATCTCAAATCAAGTCAGAGAAATTACCATGCATCACGCCAATACAGCGATGAAAACTCAAACAGCAAAGTAAATAATTCAAGAACTTCTTTTCAAATATAAAATAAAGTAATATTTCAATTCAAATGGATAAAAGAGAAGTTGGCAGCAAGGTATCAAAAAAGCACCTTCCTTACATGACGAATGGATTGGGACAAACCAATCTCTGAAAGCAGAATGAGTGGACAAACTTTAGAAATGAGTAAATAATGAACGAAAATGATTTCCAGACATAAATTAAAGTCTTGCGAGAAGGATTGTCCAGAGTGTCTAAATGAAGTGCCAGAATTATATGAAAGATGACAGAAAATAAACCTCAGAACCGGTTTCAAACTCGTTCTCATCACTTTGATCAAATTTCAAATAGTGAAAAATTGAATATGCTTGAAACATTAATCAAATTTTACTCCTTTAATATTAATACGAAAACAGGCTTACATACTAGTTAATAGCAATGACTACTATTTCTATTACTATAATTATTTCCGTTATTGATCGCCATATAACAGTCTCTGAGTAATACAATTATTGGTATTGTAATTGTTGTTTCCATTCATTACTAATATTTATTTGACTATAACAGTAAACATTGGCGCTACATATGTTATTACTAGGATGGTGAGTTGGCACTTAATCTAAAATCTTTTTTTTAAAACTGTTTTTACTATTACTGTTAGTCAAAAAAATATTTACAATAGCAGTATTACTCAACACATATATTAACATTGCAATGCAACTAATAACGTTAGTAATAGCAGTGTTATTATTTTGCAGAGAATACAGTGTTCATAACCATTTTGAAAATAAAAAACTTGGTAATTTTTCAACATGAAAATTGCTCAGTCCTTGTTTTCATGAATATCAGCCCTGTCAACTTTGACAATGCCAAATTACGGGGCATAGTTTTGATTATTAAGAGTTTAACAAAGATAAATATAAATTAAATTGTCCTGTCAAAATTTGCGTGAAAATTTTCCTGTACTAATATATAGTATCAGCTGTTCTGGATCTCATTCATCAATCAAATATAAAGTTTCTGATCACGCAAAAAATATTTCCGTGCTCCGTTTCCAGCCTAAGCTTTAATAACTACTAGCAAACAGTTAAAAAGAGTTGCGCTCGATTGACTAATAAATTTTCTGGAAAAAGGTTCGCAGTAAAGTAGAAAGAAAGATGGAAATTTGAATACTTAAATGATTTCCACAGATAAAGCACTTTTAAGAGAAAAATTCATCTTCATTTACAAACTGCACAATTTCATCTCTTCATTAACTGCCATCATAAATCGACGCCTCTCAGTGTTAATTATTAGCCTAATGAAACCTCCCTTATAACATCAGTTTGATTAATTAATTACTATCACCTGCAAATCACTCGTTTTAAATATGTAAATTAATGGCTAGTATAAAATGCAAAAGAGAATTCATAGAACACCAAAATCAAATAGTCAATCGCACAACGACAAAATCAAGGAATTATGTAACAATACTCTTTTGACTGTACGACAAAAATGATACTGAAGAAGGCAATTATTGGAGCGATTAAAGTAGAGAACTCTTTACTTACTTCAATAGTATAGATATGAAAAAGGCAACATCATGAATATTTTTCCTCTCATTACCTGAAGGCAACGTGCCTTCCTTACTTCACTTAATGAATTGCTCTAAGGAGATGAAGTTAGACCTACTTAGTGCAAACACAGTTCGATTTGAAACTAAACAGAGATGAAGAGATAATCATTCATTTCAACCGCAATTGCTTGATTAAAGCAAAAGCTGACACAAAATGTAAATAAATTACAGAGTGAAAATCTTACAATCAAGTATTCAACTGAACTAGTAAGTTTTTGATTATGAAGACAACTGGAAGCACTTTTTGTAGAAAAAGAACTTGCTTATGAAAAAAGGAAAAATAGATCTGTCCAGTAGCTCTACGACATATTCAAATACAAATATCTATCAAAAGAAAGGTAGCAATCTTGATAGGTTAGGATAATTCAAGCAATTTTTGAAATTTAATTTTCAGTCAAATAGTTATTTATTACCTTCAGAATACTTACTGATCCTACACACAACCGAAGGTAACAATGAATTTCAAATCTGGCTAATTAATAAGAAAATGTCAGCATCTCATCTGTTAATTTTATAAAATTTTTGAAAAGAACTGCTTGAACAGTTTTACGGAAAGGTTATGAATCATTCTGACGTGTGACTTTACAAAAACTGCTCGTTTTATAAACTTCCAAAAACAATTGAATTATAAACTCATCCGACGAAAAATCATTCTTTTATTTTCAAAAATATAGTCTTTACAATAGCAGCTAAAGAGATATCTTAACTTTTCTCATTAAAGTCATCAAAATCGATTCAAGCGCCATGAGGACTAGATTTAATTTAATTGTTAACGCACAAACAACGAATTTACATTTCTAACTTTGCAATAAAATATTTACTGAAAGTAACTTTTCGCAATTCACAATGGGAAAAACTATATCCGTGACTTCAGCATGAGCTACCTTTTATTCACAGTAATCATATTCTTTTGCCTAACAATCGTCCATTACCAACAAGTTAACACATTATAGGTAGTCATCAATCACAGATTTATGTGATTATTAGTCATTAAATTATCCAATTATGGATGATTTGACTGCCGTCAAATAATGAGTGAATACCGGTTGTTGAATTACTACTGCTGATGATAGTCAAAAAGAAAACAAATAAAAGTGCACGGGCAACACAGCATCAGTTTCTGATATCTGCACAGTGGCAAGGATTTTCGAGGGGAAAGAGTGAAGAAACTGGCAACAATACTGAGAGCAAAATTGCAAGAACTAAAAAAAAGTGAAAATAAATTAAACTGCACGATATATCAACATGTCCAAGTGCCATTTGGTACAACAATCATTCAATTTGTACAAATTGGATGATTTTGAATTATGCGCGAATATAATTCTTTTATTGTTTACTGCGCAGTAAAAAGTGAGTGAGGTCATTTTTGAGATGAAATTGTGGCATTTTATAAATGTAAAACATTCAGTACTTCACTTTAAACGAAAACTCTACCCAATGCTGCAGCAGTTAGAACGAAAACTGTAAAATTTTCAACTTATAATTAAATTTACAGACTAAAACTATGAAAAACAGTTGGAGAAATAAATGATCTCTACAAAACTTCCATAAATAGTTGCAGTTTCTTCGAAACTTTTCAGCTCTTTTTCATGTTCTGCAAGACTTTTGTTACCAACTTTCATTATGAGTACAAAACAAACAAAACTGACCATCGTTCTACGGGATGTCGAGTAGTCAACTGTTCAATTTTGATCTGGACATAACCAATCAATGTTGACCGATCTTTCTTCTTCTTAGCATCTGCCTCACGGTACAGATTCACACAAACATTTTCCAGCTTTGGAATGGAGCTATAAACAAAATTTAAAAATTTGCATTCAAAAAATTCTTATCGTCCGCATTCTTATGAGTATAAAAATACAAAAGGTGTCTGCTAAGTTTTAAAGCTGATTATTGCAATGACAATGCTAAAACTCAAAACTACAGTAAGAATGAAATTCAAATACATGTGTTACATCTATTCTCAGAGACTTTTGAATGAAATTTCAAAAATAAAAACTTCATTAGTCAATTTCGAAGTAAACGTAAATAAAAGTTGTTATAACCTGAAGTAAAAATGCTCGCCCCAAAAGCAAATATCACTACGTGCTTTGGCGGATGTCCGAGCGTACAAAGTTTTATCGAGGCATATTTCACAGTAATATTTCCGTTTTACTGGAACACCTTTGGCCTCCAGAATCCACACTTCAAGTGAATTCTCTGTGCGATGCATTCTGTCACGTAATGGATTCGCTGTACGACGTATACTGAAAAAGTTATCACTGTAAGTATGACAAATGGAAACGCAAAGAAACGTTCACACATTAAAACATATTGAAACAAATTTGTCTGTTTTAATTTCAAGACAATTAATGCTTTTCAAATTAACTATATCGAACTAGATATAACTGTTCAAATTTATATAAAGCGACTTAACAATGCTTCTTCAGGTTTTTTGTTAAATAATATATATTTAGTAAAAGTTTACATCTGATACTTCCTAATCCATTTGCAGAGAAATCTTAAAATGTAAATCTAAAAGGACAAATTAATGTGAATTTTAATTTTCATATGATCCCTTTTAATAATTGATTACTGGTAAAAATTCCTAGAAAGCATCGATATTTTTATGATCTTTTCCAAAATACAAATTCTAAAAATTATTGATCAGCCTAATGCACCAGTAACAAAAAATGCACAAAAAATATATAAGTTGTATATGGACTGCTGTGCACTACTTCTGGAATTATCTGATCAGTCTCTTATTTTTGGTAAAAAAGATTTTTCATTACAGAAAGATGAAACACATGATAACAGATGGAACACAAGCAAGCCTAAAAGACAATGCAGAAAAACATCTTCTGAACTGTTTGCGAAGATAATACCATCCTTTATCAAAATAAATCTAGTAATAAAATTCCTGCACATTTCCTTTTCTTTCTGCCAAAAACTACTGAAATTTTGAAACGACACTTTAATTATCGATAAGAAGTGATTAGCAGTCAAAATTACCAAAGTGAGAATATTTAAAACAGAAATATTCCATTGTTCACACTGAGGTAGAAGAATATTACACAAATAATTTCCGTCAAAGTCATTAGATATAGATGAAAATGTTGGCTGGGCTCTGGGATTGACTTGTTTTATCTAAAAATTGAAACTAATTCATAAGAGATAAAAAGCTAAAATTATTACATTCGCAACCGAGAAATTATTATACATTTGCAATAGATTTTTAGCATAAAAAACTTAAAAAGCCAGATGAAACAATTACAATTAGTATTTATTTCTGTTGCTTCTTGCAATTCCACAAATTAGATAAAAAACACATAAGGTGCAGTACAGTGCATTTTTTATTTACAGAACGATACTTTACTTCCCGTAATTAATCTACAGCTGAATTCATATACATATGAGAAGCAGCCACTTTGAAAAGAACAAATACAAACAGTGAGAGTTGACAAGAAGAAATATCTTAGGCGAAAAGAAGCTAGACGAGTAAATAAGGTATTTCTCAACAAAAGACCGCTTGAAAAGTGGAAACCAATCTAAATAGATAATTTTATAATATTTTAATTCGTCGTGAAAAAAGAATGACGTGCAGAGTAATGAAAAGTCAATTCGTAATGGAATATGATTTCAGTCTGGGAAAATACTGAATGCAGAAAACAACAGATTCAGGAATTAACAAGTATTTAAATTATTCAACAAGCTTTCAAGCAAATTCCCGTTCAATTCATTCATGACAATCATCTTACAGCTGTTAAATTCCGAATCTCATCAAGATGGATTTGAATAAAAGAAATTGGATGACTGCTCAGGCAAAAGTGTCATTTTATGCAAATTTATAGAGGGGATAATAAAGTAAGCGAGTACAATAAGCAATTGTATTCACTTGCACAGATGAGTAATGGTCATGCTCACTTTGAAGTATTGGCATCTCAAGTTGTCGTAACTTTACTTCAGTATTACAGTAGCAATAAAAAATATAGTAACAATAATATCAAGCGCCTGCACCAATCTAGATAGCAGGGCGGTATCAAGCAAATAATCTGCAGTGTGTGGTTTTGTCTACTGACTTCGGTAGTGTCAAAAGTGATATTTGTTCAGACTTTTTGTTTGAACATGGATTATCACAAATCTCGCGATGGATACAAAGTTAAGGGATTAATTTCAACTAAACACTGCGCATTGGCTAACGAACGCTAAACGACAATCACACTTGACGATTAATATTGACTAGAAAAGATAACAGATGCGCGACTGTCTCTTCATCGTTTCTTCATTTGGGGTCTATATTTTATTGAGCTGTTGAATGATTACTAGATGCTTTCTAGTATTCGCTGCAAAGATCAAACTTTTTTTCTTTTCATTTACAATACTGTCATTACTGATCTTAAATCAGCGAAATCAATTTGGTGGTGTAGAAGTCAATTACAACGAAATGGGCAATTAATTTGAATCAGTTGGCCTGCAGATGTGACAACTGGCATATACACACAGCAATTACTTTTTCCTTTCGCCTATTTTCTACTTGTATTCAAATGTTAGTTAGTAATGAATGTCTTAGTGTATTTAATTACACAATCTCAGTACTGCCAGTGAAATTTTAATTATGCGCACACAGCATTAAAGCTTAGTTTTCCAATGTTCGACCAAGCAAATATCTGGTCTGCGAATGAATTTTCATGACGTCTCAATTTCAAATAAACACAACTTTAATCTCACCGAATATCTATCTGACTCAATGAGAAAACAAAATAATACCCAAATATTCGAAGTATACGCATTTGCTGAGGCAACATTCTAATACGAAAAGAAAACTTCTAACATTTAAAAAGATAAAAAACAATTATGTTTAGAAAGATTGAAAGTTGTTAGAGGCAAGTCCAACAGACCATTGGTAGACAACTGACCAATAGATCGACCGCACTATCGACTGTCCGGTGATCCGTCTGCAATTGGAAAGTGGGAGAAGGAACCACTTCTTTATAAGAATAATATCCTTCCCACAACAATTGTTAGTCAGCATGAGAAAATTATAATTTGCACTCACTACCATCAACAACACAGTAATTACTGTCCTCATAATAACTTTTATTAACTCACGCAAAAATCACAGTTTAAACTCAGTCAATCCGAATGCCTTCATTAATTTAACCTTTTTTTGTGCACCTGTAATACTAATAAAAGGATACACTGCGAATGTGCTTAGCAATTTTATCTTTGTCAATTTTCATTAGTATATTATGCAAATTTATATCCAACAGATCAATCACTCATATCATTTTCGAATGCGCAAATTATTTTCATTGGCCTTCTCTATTATATATAACTTGACAACTTTTTTGCTATTTTTCATCTTTTATTTTATGTAACAAAATGAATCGACTGAAATTGATTGAAATCTATACAATAAATAAGTCGGAGGCATACAAAAGTGGGATTCTTGCTTTTGCGCATTATTTGCAATAATTTAGTATTGTCTTCAACAAGCCAAAGCAGAATCTCTTCAACTCATATGCATTTTCCGTCTATATTGCAAATTCGATTTTCTGTCGTTTTAGAGCTTTTCATCTCAGATACTTTGCAACTAACTAATTATAATGTTTGGGACTAATTTCTGAATATTTTGTTGTATGGTTGTATGGAAATAAAATTAGATGAAATTAAAACTTTTTTAATTATTCAGTAACTTACTTCCGTCCGCTGTATTAGAAATGCTTGAATATCAGAAGCTTTCTGAGAGCTAAGGAAAATAATCAAGAAAATACGAATATAAAGACGTAAGTTAGCAAATAAATACAGAGAAAATTTCAGTAAATAATTTTTCAGTGATTGGCCAAAATGAAAGTTAAAGTTAACGTCGTATTATTGAAAAATATTAAAAAATCGTGCCTCAAATTACTTTTGCACATTTTTCGTTGTCCGTTTATTTTTTTCACTTTTAATCTAATTTTATTTCCACAACAGCTCTTAGGTTAAGTACTACCTTTTCCCAGCTTAATGCAGAGGAGAAAAGATTTCAGCACGTATTAAAAAATCTTCCTCAGGTTTAGAGTGAAATTGTAATAGAGAAATGTCAGAATAGAATAGCTAACAATTTATGTACTTGCCTTTGAAATTTTCTAGGAAAGAATGCTTATGTTTCAAAATTTTGACAAATTCGCATTAAAAAAAATATTAATAATTAGTCTTCTGATCCCAATATTTTCTACAATTGTAAAGTTAATGATGTATTTTGTTAGTCAGAGTTATGGCACTAATGAAGACAGTATCATGATTTCCATCAACACAAATTTAATTTACAGGATCTACTAGACAAACGTAATATGTGTGTCAGAGATTAACTGACTGATGAATATTCTATACTCATTTACTCAGCGGAACATAATTAATCAATATTCTATTCCACGCTTGTTTCTGATCACGACAGAAATAACGGATATTTTAGTGCAAAAATTTGCATATGATAAGTATATTTCCTTGATAAAGGAATGCTTTGAAGCATTAAGCTTAATTGATGAAAAGGCAAATGAAGCAAAAGACTTTAAAAGTGTGCAAATTATTTTGGTTTCTATCCTTCTTACCTCTCACACAAACTGAACCGCTCTGATTTCTTAACGAAATTTCTCACATCTCAATAGTATGCTGTTTTATGGAACTTACTGCTTGCATGCTTGTTAACAAGCATTAAGCAAAATGCTTTGTCAGAAAATGGATTTCTCAGAAATAGGTATGAGAAGATTTATGCAAATAAATATAAAACAATGTACTTACTTCAATAATTTACAGATCGGTTTATTTTTCATTTAGCAAGCATTTGTCACTCGCTTCCAACACCAAAATTTTGTACTGATGAAAAGTGTTTGATTCTAAAGTTGAAATAAACCTATCAAGTTTCATTTAAAGTAGTAATTCTTAGCAATATTGCAAATAAATATTGGCCCTACCGAAAAATGCACAACGCTCTAACAACAAGACAAAGACAGCAGTTATTAATACATAAGAAGTACAACATTTATTATGTTCAGCACAAGTCTTTGAGACTTTACTTTATGAATGCTCTGCACAGAACGGAAACAGTCACATGTGCACATTCGTGAATGAAACTTTGATAACGAGACTGAAAAAAGAGTGAGCTCGACTAGCTAGTCTGAACAGGTGAGCAAAGCGAAGCAAACATTCACTTTTCGACAACTGTTTTCCATTTACTTCGAGGCAACTGTAAAT